GTTAAAAATCTATTGCTAACTTTCAACAATTCACAGACACAAACGTGGCCAGACACACACACAAAGATACACCCCCCACACCCAGAACACACACACATCCATACACATAAGGTGAAGGTGTGCGCTTTGGCTGTTTGTGTAAGTGAGTTAGAGTTTCCTGCAGCTGTCGTGGCAACTTCCGGCTGCTGCTGCTGCTGCTGCTGCTTCTACTGCTGCAACAACGTTTACGTCGACGCCAAAGTCCATGTCTTTCCCTGCACAACGCCCCACCAACCCTAGGCAGAGACCCTGCCCCAGCCCCTGCCTCCGACTCTGCTCCTGCCACTGCCTCTGCCCCACTGCTTGTGTCCTTCTTCTATCTCTTGCATGACGGCTAAAACACTTATTTGGCTTAAGGCTAAAAACTCAAAGCCAAAAATAGCAATAGCAACAACAACTCAACAGAAAGCATAAACAACAAAAAGAAAGGTGTAAAATGTATGTGTTAAATGACCGACTCTGCTGATACCCTTTATTCTTCAAGCATCTCAGTTTTCAACTAAATTACAGTGGTTGAATGCGAGAGACTTGCACAGAGTAAAAAATGTTAAATAAAATCTATATCCAATCGGCTGCTCTGCATATTTTATATTCTTTATAGAGCCGGCAATTGTTTTATTTTCGTTGATGCAAATATCTGAACAATTTGCTCATAAATCTCCCCCCAAAAATGTTCGACAAAATGCAACCAAATGGACATTCAAGTTTTGTAAACAATTTTAATGTCTTTCTAATCATTTATTCTAATCATACCCATTAAGAAGTTAACTAACAGAGAGAAGAGCTCTCCACTTAGAGGAAGAAATGCTTCAACGTGTCTCTTGGTCTCTCTGCCTCTTTCCACACATTCCTGCATGGAGCATCTTTTTTTTTGTGTGCGAACCTGTACCCATCGCTTGCTGGCACTCCGCACTCCCCTGCCATGGCTGCAGTTTCCAGCTGCCCCAACATTTTTCGTCCCGTGCATTTGTAATCAACGTACTGGTAGATAGTCAGTGAAGTAAAGTAAGTAATACGCATGCTGCTCTATGTGTGCTTAAAAAATTGCACAAAGTTCGAGTTACTCTGTGTGCCGCCCCCGTGGACGTATAAGTGCAAGTGGGTGGTGTATGTATTTGGTGTGTGCCCGTCTCAGTCATAGAACTGTTGCTGAAGTCACGTAATTCAAATAACTAAAGTTGGCGTAAATATGCCGAGCATACAACACAGCAGAGACACACTCCACAACCCCACACACCACCCCACACTCGCTTGCAGCAACAGCAGCAGCAGCATTGAAGTTACGTCGAGTTACTGGCGAAACACAATTGCTTATGCACTTACTTGTTGTTTTCTTGTACCGACTTAAAGCTCATTAATTTTACTAATTTTCTATATATATTTAGAAAATATTATATATTCACTCTCCCGTATAGAGACACACTCAGACACATTATTAAGATATTATTTTTGAGCACTTTCTTCAAATGATAGCTGAAAATACTGTTCAGTTAATTATTCTCAAACTGCAATGTGCGATTGAGGATATAGGGACACAGAAAGCAGCAGCACTTTGCCATTAAAATTAAATCATTTTGTAGCTTAAGTGTCGCAACGAATTCGTAAGATTAGAGCAGGGGGCGGGGGTGGGGGTTGAGCTGCTAATTACTTTCTAAGCCCTTTTCGTAGGAGCCAGGGTGTGGGGTGGGGAGAAACATATTTGGAATGCTTATTGCGCTTTGTACAGTTTGGCAAGCACTTAAGCTGCCCGCTACTGGAAGCACTTGACGCGCCCTGCTTTATGAGCAACTCCCCCATGCGCTTATGATGCGCTTACATGGGGTACATCGGTTTTTGTACACACTTGAGGGTAACGCAAAGAAAGAAACTATTTTCAAATTATTAGCATCACCCCTCTTATTTCATTTGGGATATAGCCGCCAACATCTGAAGAATATATAATATTAATATGTTTGGACATTGCTGCACCAGCAATTGGCCGATGTGACAACAAGTCGAAGCTTGTTACGCGGAGATACCAGGCAGAAAGACAGCCCTCCGCCCAACCGACCGAGGGGCACACCCGCATGACGCGCAACGCGTATAACCGAACCGGTCGCATATATCATTATCAAAAAAATGTTTGGGAAAAATTGTATGTTGATGCTCAAATTAATTCACTCGAATTGAAGAAAGTTTTATTTTATTTGTAGTCTAAAAATGGTATTAAAATTATCATTCGTGAAAATTCGTATCATGAGTGAAAATTTTATGTTGATGCTCAAATTAATTCACTCAAATTGATGAAAGTATTATTTTATTTGTAGTCTAAAAATGGTATTAAAATTATCATTCGAGTAAATTTAATCCATATCAGCACCACAAGTAGAGCTTCTTAAATATTTTCAAACCATTAAAATTGTACAGCTGTACAGCAAAAAAGTGACTGATTTGCAAGGGCATCTGAAGATGCGGTCCTCGAATATTTTCTATTTTCCTGTATTTGTTTTTTCTTTAATTAGTTACCCGATTTTTCTGCACTCACTCACCCGAGATTGTGGCGGCTACTTTATATGTTAATGAGTTTTTTTGCCGCTTCGTCGTCTTCTGACACAGATTTCCTTTGTCTTGGCCATGAGTGAAGCGCCTGCTGCTTCTTCAGCTCCTTCTGGTTAGACCAATTGAATTGGAAAACAGCTTTCGCGGGTACCATAATGCACACACACAGTGAGAGACTCGTAAGAGTCCGGGGGGAAAAAGAAGCAGAGGAAATGCTGAAAATTTCACAAAATACGAGTATGAAAGTCGCCTCGCTCCGCTGTCCTGCTGCTTATCGCTGAAATGGTTTGGCAGGGCAGGGCACCTACATAGAAGGGCAAAGCAGTGGTGGTGGGGCGCTGGGCGCATGGCAAAGCGGCCGCTTTTTGCCAAAGTTCAAATTGCATTTGCTGGAGCGCAGCAGAAAGAGAGAAAGCGGGGAAAAAAGCAAAGACCGAAAAGAAAATGTTGAAAAGCAAAAAGCATTTGATAGACAGAGAGGGGGCCGACAGGAAGAGCACAAACACACACACATACACACACAGCCTCTATTTGTGCATGTGTACGTTGTGTGTGTGTGGGTGTGTGTCGATGTGTCGGGCTGGCAACATTTTCTTATCTAAACAATATTGCGACTGCTGCACTTCCAAAGCGACTGCAACAACATCCACGCTCCTCTGGCTGATTGAACAAAGTTTGCTTGCATACATTTTGTCGTTGGAGTTTTTGTCATATCTACTTACAGGGCATCCAAAGGGTAGATCTATGCTGAAACAGCGGCAGCCTATACATGGGTATATCCATGGGAAAGTCCAATATTGTGCTGTTGTCCCACTTTCAGCCGTTCCAATCAAATAGGGTGTCCACTGTGCTGGGTATCAAATAGTCGCTTTGACTTCCACCTGGCCTCAACACAATTTACTTTTTGTGGTTGTTGATGCTCTGCTATTTTTGTCCACAACATGTGCTGCCAATGACTCCATGGACGGAAAATGGAGCCAAAATGTTGGTCAAGTTTGTGGCAAAAGTCTTAAAGGCTATGCGAAATGGCACAAATTAAGGTTTTTTCAGGAATAATAGTTTAGGGGCAACTGTACAGTTTGAGCAGCAATACGTGCAGCCAGCCCGTTAAAATTTCAGTTGCATGTGCTAATGCTACAGTTTTCCCATCACTGATGCACTTTGCGATCTTTGAAAATGTTCAAGTCCGTACACTTTGATTATACTTGGAAATACTTTCTACAGTTTTAGTCATACATTCACAGTTTTACAGAAACAACATCAAACCTGATGAAAATCGGTGTTAGAGGCAGTCAAAAGAGAGAAAGTCAAGCATCGATAATTTGGAAGCTTCTGACATCCTTGGTTATACTTCCATACAGTGGCAGCAATTTACGATAGGTCATCCATCGATAATGAAATTACACAATGTGGTTGGTGTATTCCCGCAACGCGCAAATACAACAGCAAACTTCGCTGTGATTGCATGTGTGTAAGTGATGAATTGGATAAATAAAACCCGAAAGAGAGGGAATACACCAACTTGCATAATTTCATGATGGTCATCATGGTTGAAGAACATCTAATCCTCTCAAAAATAATCTTAAATCAAATAAACCAATCCAAAAGGAATCAAATTTCATCACAGCATCAGGTGAAGACGCAGCAGAACAACTACAGAATCCTGCGGTCGAGCACTTCAGGATTGCCAAACATATCGCATTAACCCTACACTCTGGGCAACACGTCAGCTATTCATCTTCCACCTTCACTAAGATAATGCTCCTCCCATTTCTGTCCTGGGAATGCGTCAATGTGATAGTGCTAATTTCTATGCAAATTATACGCCAAAGGCTCACGTTACTTGCTACTGATTGCCGTGCTGTACGCCTACAGATATTCTCTCAAGATGTTGCATCTGAACGATTTAGGGTTAGGTGTGACATTTGGGCAGTCTTTCGCTTGCTTGATGTTGTATAATGCTTTTATTTCCCCTTTGAGGAGCCACTCTTATTAACTTTCCATTTATAGTGGAGCATTATAGCTCTTGCAGCTCTTTGTCGAGCTGCCTTTGAGCCACTGGTCGCTTGTTCACCCTCTTCCTGCAGCTACCCATCACACACTACTGGAGAAATCAAAAGACATATTAATGAAGCTTCTGTAACTTTTGTACTCACACAGGAATTTCAGGTTCAGATGGCCAGATGGCCTCCATACCAAAGGCGTCACTGGGGGTTGGGCGTGCAATTTTCAAACATTATTTTTATGGAACGTCTATTATATTTTCTGATTTAATATAATATAATATATATATAGTTCAAATGAGAGATCAATTTCGTACTTAACGCGCATTCTTAACCATCTAAAAGAACAACGCACGAAAAGTTTATTTAAATTGTTTATTTTTTTTGTTTTTACTAAAACCTATTTTGTTTTGTATCATCTGGTTTTTGTTGATAGTTCATTCTGTTGTTGTTGTTGTTTTGTATCTCTTCTGTAGTTTATTGCTTGGGAAGAAGCTATATTACAATGTAACTGAACCATTGCCCATCTTTAACAAATGTAGTAATGGGATTTATTTTGTTGTTTTTTATTGTTGTTTTTTTTTGTTTGGTTTTTTTTCCCCTCACAACGTTTTGGCGCTAACGCTTCGTCTCTTTCTATCCGAACTCCCAACTTCTCTCTTTTTCTATGTCTGTCTCTTTCTACGCGCGCCACAAAGGTAAAAGTTGGTTTAACAAAGTTTTTTGTTTGTTATTAATAACTAATTGTTAATTTATAAATTATAAACTTAAAGCAGTTTCGTTACCAATTTTTCAATGTAACATACATTTAATACGCATTTATTATTAACTCATTTCATTTCGGATTTTGAAAAAACTATGGATGCTCCTGATGCTTCTGTGTATTTGTGTGGTTTATGGTGTGTTTGATGTTTTGTGGTTGTTCTTGGTTCACTGGCTGTTTGGTTTATATTTTTTATCAAAATAAATGCGTACGTTTCTTCTCCTTTTTCATCTTCTAGGAAGCAACTTAAAATGTACAGTGACAATTCTTTGTTGGATGCGTGCTTTAAAATGTTTTGGAAATGTTGAATATTCCTAGATAACTAACTGAAAACTCTCTCTCTTTGTCTCTTTTAAAAGAACGAAGGAAACGACGACGGAGGCGACGGCTACTTAATTCCCATAAACTTGAACAAGTCCTCCTCTTTTGCAGACAAACAATGCCGCAAATAACATTTCGAATTAGCCAAAAGAATTGTCTGTTTGTGGTGGTGGTGTGGCGGTGTTTTGTGTGTGGACAAATGATGTGCTAAAATTGTGTGGATGTGTGAATGTGAATGTGGTCTGGGGGCAGGGGGTCTGTGGCTAAAATTTGGTTAATGCAGCTACCGGTTAACCGATCATCAGCCCACAGCCCAGTCTGAAGTTGTTCTTCACATGGTTCATGCGGCCGCTCAGTAAAAGCGTGAATGGCAATGGCTGCAAACGTTTCTCCAGCACCCCCGAAATGTGCCAGTTGGTGTCAATAGAGCCTGCAAGGAAATGCACCAAACAATTATTTATTGCCTGCTGTTCAGCCGGATAGCACATTTGTATTGTGAGACTCACCTCGGAAGACCAAATCAGCCTTGGGTAAGTCAATCTGATAGGCAACAGTGGCAACTGACTCTTGCATGCGCAGGCTGGTCTCGACCTCGGCACCTATCTGCAGCTGTTCACTGGCTTTCTGGTAGAAGCACAGATGCAATCCACTCAGTCCCAGAGTGCCGGACCACGTCGTGTTGCCGCTTGTGTAGCGGCCCATGCCTGAGACAAGGGCAATCTGGCGCCCGGGCACATTCGGCCCATACTGATAGGCTATCTCGGCGCCCAAGGCAATGGCCGGAGTTACAGACTGCAAATACTGGCCAACGATTACGCCAGAGTTGTTGAATATGTTCGGATTGGCCATGGTGAGCGAGCCCGTGAAGTCGTCGCCGCGATAATCAGTTGTCAGCTGTGAGGCCACCATCTTCGAGTCCTGGACCTGTAAGAAGATTCCAAATGCATAAGAGACTGATGCTGCTAATGCCGGCGCATTAATCTACTCCACTCTGAAGACTTACCTGCGAGGCAAACTTGCAGCGTACGCGCGGCGAGAACTGGTGAATGATATTGGCATTCAGATTGCCAGATGGATCAATGTCGCCCAGGAGCACAGGGAATGCCTCGGTGGGGCTGAACTGCTTGGTGCCCACGTAGGTGGCCCCGAAGCGGTAGCCGCTCGGCACCGTGCTGCTCATGTTGATGGTGTGCGAGACCTGGAAGTGATTGCTGAGCCCCTTGTTCAGCATGATTTTGGCTCCCTCGAAGGTTACGGCCTGTATATCTGCCGGAGTGGATTGGTTACCAAAGGACAGCAGAGAGGGGAAGAGAGTAGGATAGTTGAATGAACAATGGCCTGATAATGCATAATCAAAGACAACAGCGCACACACACATACACACTCGCACACACGCACGCACTGCGGCCCCCCGCTCACATGTTGTAGGTTATGTCATCAGACAGCTGAGGTTTTTTTCTAGCCGCCTCGACTTTGGTCTATGAAAATGCGCACATAATGTGGTCGGTCGAACGGGATTCGCTTACCTTTGCATTTTTTGTGCAGTTCCTCTACGGTGCCTGGATTCTCCAGGAAAATATCCTTCCCGGCGGTGTCGGTGGCGGCGCCCGATAGCAATGTGTCTGTGGGTGCAACCACCGGCTCGGGAAGACTCAGACCGGCAGCCACACTGTTGCTCTTGCCTGAGGATGCCGCTAGCACGTTGCCCATTTTTTGTTCTGATGTTTTAATGCACAAAAATTGTTAACAATTTTTTTAAGCAGCACGCGCGATATGTCATATACAGTGTGACCGCGTATTTAACGATAAAATATACTGCCTGACCCTCAGGAATATACCAAAATATACCTTGTCATTATCAAAATATACCAAAAATATACTGACGAAAACGACAAGATGCGCTGATATTCCTCAATTTTGAAATTTGGTTTAATATTACTAGCTAGTTACCCCTGTCAGCCCTAAGCAAATAATTTTGTCCGATTCCTCAATAAATTTTGTGCAATGTTGGCTAGTTTTCAGAACTCCTTTTTATTGGACTGTTTGCATAATACGGTTTCACGAATTTATGGCATCACTTCAAAGCTGGTAATCTTTTTAAATGAGCTTTCAAGTATCACTCTATATGGCATGACATGGATAATCATGCTTTCCTCCAGCTCTCCTGGAGCCAATTTTGGCTGCTAAATATACAGATGCTTCATCTTTTACGCACAAAAACAAAAGCAACTTAAGCCATAAAAGCCATAACTTAAACGCCATAACCGTGCCCTCGCTATGGTCACACTTTGATAAAAATGGTATTTTGTGATTTTATCCGCTCGGTCACATATATATAAAAGATTTTTTTTAAATCAAAAATCAAATTCCAGACGGTGGTGCACCAGGCGTTAGCCTCGAAACGGGTAACCAGCAGCAGGTGAATCTGATGCGGCCGGCAGCAAAATTTCAGTTACAAATAATTTCTCGTCGTATCGTATTAATAAAAACTTGTATATTTCAAGTTAAGTATAGTATTATGTATAGCTTTTCTTTCGTGTATATAGAGCCTATGCCTATGTATGATTTCCGGAGCACAGGAGCTCTGCTACGTATGTGTAAAGCTGAACAGACCCTTTTCCGAATGACTTGGATCCAATATTAATGTATTTGGGGGGGCTCACAAAATAATTCTACTAGTCCCAGGGCGGGGGGGTCACTAAAGAACAACCCAATTATGTCGTTTGCTTAAAAACGAAACTAGAAACTAAAATTAGTTTTGCATATTAAGGTAACGAATTAATGATTTGGTTTCTCAGCTAAATTAGATAGTTTTAAGAGTGCCTACGGTGGTGGATCAATGATGGACAGTCCACACAAAAGAATTCGACAAAACAATAATTAACAAGAGACAAATAATAAACTATGGAAGAAACATACAGAAAAAAAATTAAATAAAAACCTCTATCGCTGGGTGGACAAACAAAACATTCAAAAGGGACCCAACAAACAAAAAAAAAACGAATCAACAACAGGAGGATTTCTCCGGCTCGGCCACAACGAGATTGAAGTCGAGACTGTTGGGCGTCGCAAAGCCGGCCTTGATGCCGTCCCAGCCATCCTCCGCCTTGTACTCGCCGGATCGAATCCGGGCGTACACCTCTTGGGTGACCATGCGGAAAGCCTCCTCCACATTGGCTCCGGTGCGCGCGGAAGTCTCAACGAAATGCAGGCCATGTTGTTTGGCAAACGTCTGCGCCTCCTCTGTGGACACTTCGCGGTGGCCGCCCGCATTGATGAGGTCCAGCTTGCAGCCAACCAGCGCAAAGACGGGTCGGTGCGGCTCGATGTGACGCTGCGCCTCCATCATCCACAGTGGTATATGCTCGAAGCTGGCATGATTCGAGATATCATAGACGAGCAGAACGCCGACGGAATTGCGATAGTAGGATTTTGTGATGGAGCGGAAACGCTCCTGGCCGGCTGTGTCCCACAGCTGTAGTTTGATTTGTGTTCCATCCTTCATCTCGATGAGGCGGGCAAAGAAGTCCACGCCCACTGTCGGATCCGAGAGCTGCAATGACAAATAAAGGGAGACATTCTTGGGTAATATATTTAAATTGCGCGGGCAAAGTACTGCGAATGATATGGCAGCCCTGGTCTATACAGCGTTGTTGTTCCTTCCATTATCAGGCGAGCGCTCGCACTCACACCTACACACATGAGACACCATCTGAGAAGTCTGAGACGCAGGCTTTGTTCTTATTTTTTTTTTGTAAAATAATCAGTGAATTATGTAAGAAAACGCATTAAATGCATCTGTTAAACAATCGCACTTGACACACATACACACACACATTCAACAGCCACCGTAGTCTTGCACAGGGGGGGTGGGACATGAGACACATAAATGAATATGAATACAAACCTCGGCAAATTTTCCATCTGTAAAGAATTTAAGCAGCGAACTCTTGCCCACTGTGCTGTCGCCAATGAGTATCAGGCGGAATTGATACTCAAAAATGGGCTCGACCATATTGACTGGTGCAACGGCCCTTTGTGTGTTTCTAATCTTCGGGTTTAACACGCAAATTATGTTGTCGTCCTTGTTGTTTGGTCAGTGGTGTTGGGGCCAGCCCATGCCTCTTTTCTTCGCACCGGAACTAGATTACTGCACTGCTACTGGTGCACACTTGCTTTATTTATAGCTAATTAACGTTTCGATGCTCGGGTTAATCGTCAATTATAAATATACTACAAAATATTTAGCTGCCGTGACTTTGTTTTGTTTTTTTCTAACAAAAACTGTGATTGTGTGGGTGAGTGAGTGATAAAAGCAAGTGTTGCCAGACCGTGGACAGCAGTTAGAAATGTGCTGTTAGGCGCAATACAAATTACCCAATAAATTGTTCATTAACCCTTTTGTAATTGATTGACTTGTTTTTGCTTTTTTTAATGCATACATTTAGCTAAATTATTGATTTAGCCAAATTCATTTGCAGATTAGAGCAGACTGTTCAAAACGTACTGTTAAAAAACGTGCTGTTATGCGCCACTGGCAACTGGTATGGCAGCGCCGGCCAACTGTCATACTGACATTTGCTCGATTTATATTAATTTTACGTTTGTTTTTTGTCCAAATTGCCTGGTTGCCGCAAAACAAATGAACAAGTCCACTATCAGGGGAACGGCAGCAGTAGTAACGAACCAACACCAGCGCCCGCAAACAGTAGGCAGGAGGCGCCCAAAGAAGATAGTCAGCAATTAAACAGAAAGTCTGCTGCCGGGTACGGGTACGTGCTCCGTATCCGCCGTCTCCTTCTCCGTCTGAACACCGCACACATTCAACGTGCTGTGAGTTGTGTGCGCTGCGCAAGGTTACCGAACAATATTAATACCGTTAATTATAGCTGCAGCAGAGCCCGAGTATATGTATATTTAAGCATATATATACACCTACGTACATATATGTGCCTACACTCACCTACATAGATGTTAAAGTTTGTGCTAAACGACGCCGCTACCTGTGTGCGCAACAATGTGCGAGAGTTCAGCCTCAACGCTCTACGCCTCCTGCCGCACCTACCTCAGCTGAGTCCATACGATGTAAGTACATATCTACGTTCGGCAAAGGGTAGGATGGGGATGTCCATGTGCTAACATATTTCTGTGTGTGTGTGTGTGTTTTCTTGTTGTTGTTTTTCGCAGGTGAATCTTCAGCTGCGTGAGAACGAATTTGTGTACAACTTCCCAGTGGATGATGGGATTGTGCACAGCTACGAGACGAATCAGCTTGGCTCCAATTCCCCCTGCGAGGACTCACGCACCGAGGCCAGTCTGCTACATAGGAATGGCTTCATTTGCGGCATATTCGATGGGCATGGCGGCGCCGCCTGCGGCCAGGTGGTATCCAAGCGTCTCCTACGCTGTCTCTGCGGCCACACTGCCCCGCCAGGTGCTTAAGGAGCACATAAAGCAGAATTGCAACAGCCAGTCCTTCCTCAAGTGCCACAACGACAACGTGGACTTTGTCAACGAGATCAAGCCGATCTATGAGCACAGCTTCCAGAAGTACATCAAACAACTGGCCCAGACAGCGCAGCGGGACGTGAGCAGCGAACTGGTGCATGCCTTTCTCCAACTGGACGAGGCACTGTCCCACGAGGCTCTGGCCACCATCGATGTGCGCACCATGGGAGTGGCGCTGTCGGGTAAGATTAAGCTTAAGATTGAGCCTGTAATATTGATTGTTGAATTTGTATATTGATATATTTGTAGGTGCCGTGGCGTGTCTGGTACATTTGGAGGGACTGCAGCTGCATGTGGCCAGCACTGGGGACTGTGGTGCCGTTCTGGGCGTACTCGATCCGCAGACGAATCAATGGCACCCAAAGAAACTCAACATCGAACACAATGCAGACAACATGGCCGAGGTGAAGCGCATCCTCGACGAGCATCCCAAGGAGGAACACGAGACGGCCATACGTAATGGCCGGCTGCTCAGCCAATTGGCCCCGTTGCGCGCCTTTGGCGACTATCGCTACAAATGGTCCCTGGACATAATGCAGAAGAAGGTGGTGCCCCTGATCGGGGAGCAGGCGATGGCACCCAACTATTATACGCCGCCGTACCTGACCGCCCGGCCCGATGTCCAACAGCACGAGCTGAGCGTCAACGATAAGTTTCTAGTCATAGCCAGCGATGGCCTGTGGGACTTTCTGTCGCCCAGCGAGGTGGTCAGCCTCGTCGGTGAGCACATCAACTCGAAGAAGATACTTGAGCCGATGCGGCTGCCCGAGGGCAATCCCACGCTCCAGCAAATCTCCGATCAGCTGGCCGAACGCAAGTGAGTCCTCATCCATTCTGTCCGCGTACTCGAAACTAATCCTCTTGCTTAATTTCTGCTGCAGAGCTGGTCTCACACGCAAGCCGATTGATCAGAATGCTGCCACACATCTGATCCGTCATGCACTGGGTGCCACCGATTATGGGATTGAGCACTCGAAGATCTCGTATTACCTGTCGCTGCCCAAGGATGTGGTACGGCTGTATCGCGATGATATCACCATAACCGTCATTTACTTCAACACGGAGCACATAGCCGGACTCAGAGATGGGACAAGCGCGCCGGCAGCGTGATGATCCCCTTGCCGGACTTTTCTTTATTCTCTTACCGCTCTGCTTGTGTGCATGTACAATATTTATTAACTGTACCGGACCGCTGCCACTACTTCCCACTCCCACTCTCACTCCACCATCTCTTTCTGTGGCACCCAACCAAAAGCCTTTAGCTAATCCCTAGGCTAAGTGTTTGCGTTTAAGTTTGTTTCTTCGGACAGTAAATCCTCTCACTACAAATCGAGAATCAAATCATTTTTTTTTATTTTACAATTACATTCAAATTACAATTTGTTTTGGGGGGGCAGGGATTATATATATGATATATATATATATATATAACTCTTCTTAGAGTTAATCTTACATAGAGTATATATGTATGTATGTGTGTATGGTGTGTTTGTGTGTTTTGGGGGAAATTCCTAAAGCTAAAATGAAGAGAAAACTTGATAGAAGAACTCTGGTGTGTGGAATCCACACACGAGGTTTGGCAATAAACTTGCAAACTGGTAAACGGTACGATCCTAAGCCTATACACAATGATTAAAACTAAGCAACTACTACTGGAGAGTACAACTATTAGCAAGAGGGAAGCAAGGGCAAGGGGGGGTAGGATGGGCATGGACATGGGATTGTGTCATCTATATCTTAGTTGCTTAGTCTTTGCTATCCTGCTCTGCCGCCTCCTGACGGCCCACACAATTCAAGAACTCCATCTGTATGTGTGTCACCTGGGTCTTGGTGAAGCACTGCATCTTCTTTTTAAGGAAATCAAAGAACAGATCCAGCTCGTCTCTCTTGGCCAGCGCCTGGGCCACATGATAGGCATGCTGGTCCTCCTCCTTGATCAGAGTGCTGCTGCTGGCCGCACTGATCGCCAGCGGTGGACAGGTTCCACTAGCATTCCCGCCACCGTTAAGACCGGCTCCACCGCATGTCAGCGGCGGCAACTGAAGAATGGTGGCTGTGGGCGTGGTATACGATGTGGTGTTGCACAGCGCCGATGACGCTGCCGGCGAGGTGGTGACCGCTGCGGCATTTAGCGACACAGCCGGTGTGCTGGAAATGGTTACGCTTGTGCTGGTTGCCTCTGTGACATCCACCAAAGAGATTTGCTGTGTGGAAATGCTCTGATCGTGACGGCTCGAGACGGCTGCCGCAGCCGCCGCGGCTGCTGCCGCTGCTGAGGTGGTGGTGACCAGCGTGAGATTCTTGAGCTTGCCGTCGGACACAACGGCGCCGCCAAGGACACTGTTGGTGGTCGGCCCGTTCACACAGCTGCCCGTATACTGATGATGATGGTGGGAGCGGACGGCAACCGAGACGGACTGCTGGTGCGGCTGCGGCTCAATGTCCGATATGCAAAAGTCATGGGCATCGATGTAATGGAAGCTCTTGCTGTGGGTCACATCGTTGCTGCCATCCACACCGTCGCTGACGCCCATCTCGCAGTCGACATGGGCACCGCTGGCCTCCTCGTACAGGCAGACCTCCTCGTAGTCCACCTCGGTGCCGGTGGCCCCATCCTCGTCCATCTCGTGCTTGACAATGTCCACCACATGGCCGTCGTGATCGACCACATCATCGTCGTCGTCCACATCGTCGACAACATCGTCATCGTGGGCGATCTGGGACAGCTCAATGCTGGAGATGCTGCCATCGTGCTGCGACTGGTGATGATGATGATGGTGATGCTGCTGCTGGTGATGATGGTGCTGATGATGATGGTGCTCATGATGCTGGGACACCGTATCGTCCGAGACGCCCTCCTCATAGGCTGTCAGTATGAATGTTTCGGCCTCATCGCCAACCAGGGTGATCTGGGCATCATGATGCGATGAAATTGCCGTATCCGACTGACCATCATCGTCCCCATCATCATCGTCATCGCCCTGGTCCTTCAGATGCAGCATGGAACCGATGGGCAGCGTTGTGCTTGTGGCACTGCTCGCCTCATAGTTATTTTGGGTGCGATGCGACTTCAGTTTCGGCTGGTACACGGTCGATAGGAAATCCAATTCCTTGGCATAGCGCCACTTGGAGAGACGCCCCTCTATGCACTTGGGTGTGCGTAGGCGATACTGATGGTACGTATCCCTGAGGTTCTTCCACTTTCGTCTCACCTCCTGCACAGTGTATTTATCTGCCAGAACGTCCAAATTTATAAGGAACACCACACACAAAAATATGAAGAACTGCTTGATACTCACGACCAATCTTTTGGGCCACCTCCTGCCATCCGCTCAAGATGTCCGAGCGACGCCGCTGATTCGGTTGCAGTTTGTAATTGTACAGTGCCGGATTCTGGCGCACCAGATTGATTAGCGTCAGAATGTCGTCGGTGGGGCGCATTGTCCTTGTGGTAGCGTTTCCGCTCTGATGTGGACGACATGTTGTTTTTGTGTGGTCTCGACTTCTGTTGCTCTCCACTCCTCGCTCCAGTAGTCACATTTAATTTTCCACACAATCTGTGCTATGTGGAGCAATCGGTTGTTCTTTGCTCTTCTCCCCAGCAAATGCCAGGCAATGTTATTGTTTTCCACGGAATGCGGTTCCAGACTTTTTGGTTCGTCTGCTCATTGGCGAGGTCGCACACCAACACCAACACTAACGCACACACAAATGGCGCGTAGGTGCGCGCTTGCCACACGGAACACGGCTACGACGTAATCGTACTGGTAGCCGGAAGTAAACGAAGCTGTCGTCTAGCTATGTCTCCAGCTGCGGAAGCTGTTGCTCAGGCACATAATATGGGAGATTACCTAAACTCCAAATTTATTGCACTTGATGCTCTTCTACCTATCTTCTGGCAAATACAGCCGTAGAGATGGACTTTATTGGCATTGGCGTACCTGTTACTTATCGCGGATATATTTTTACCTCCACAGTCACCGCCTAGAAATAAGCACAGTGAGTAGTCTTGGATTATCCATGATAATCGGATTCTTTGAAGGCATGCAAGGCACAACAAAATTATTTCCATACACCATCACTTATCTAATTTCATTCCGTATTTAATTGGCAATTGAACTTTAGGACAACGACAGTACGGTAGGGATGCGCAGGGCTGGTAGGGCACGATAGTTGTTGCCAATCGAATGCCACATTGAATATAATAATCTAAATTAATATTAACATATTTTTTACGACTCATCAAATATTTTGTATGTTATTTAGCAGCGCAGAATATAAATGTTGATAAAAACTGCACATCAAATTCAATGTGCTACGCAACCGATACTAATCGATAGCACTTATAATGACCGGATACCGATAACACACCCCCAAATTGTTTGTCTCTAAAAAAAAAAAAATAAAACAAGAATTAAATATTAAATTGCCGCATAAAACGTGTTAAGCTTAATTAGAATGAGCACACCCGCTAAAAATAATGGCACGGGACTCGAGGACGTTAATATACCGGGGCAGGCGTATTTGCGCGAGGCCCTCACCTCCTGCACGGACCCGCTGAAGGCAATTGAGAGTTTTCAGGTTTGTTTACGTTGCAAAATGGGCGCGAAAAATCGCTGATGCACCTGTCTCCCTTTATTGTAGCTGGAGAATGGGGTGCTGTTGCCGTCGTTACGCCCCATGCTGCCGCTGCTCGACCTCCACGGTGTGCGGCGTTTGGATTTCCACACGTCGCTGATGGAGGAGCTGCGCGACAAGCTGATTGCCCACATCAACGAGCTAGGCCAGAAGGAGCCCCGGGAGCGGGACAAGAAGCTGAAGGAGTTGCTGGTGAAGAGCTTTCCCGTCGTGCGGGTCAAGTCGCTGCGTCCGGTGGTGATGGCCATCTTGAGGAACACCCAGCACATCGATGACAAGTACCTCAAGATTCTGGTGCGCGATCGGGAACTGTACGCCGACACGGACACGGAGGTGAAGCGCCAGATCTGGCGGGACAATCAGTCGCTGTTTGGCGACGAGGTCTCGCCCCTGCTCTCGCAGTACATCCGGGAAAAGGAGCACATTCTATTCGACCACACGAACCTCAACAACTTGTTTTTCCATCCGACGCCCAAGGTGCGCAGACAAGGCGAGGTGGTGCAAAAGCTGGCGAACATGATCGGGACCAGCGTGAAGCTGTACGACATGGTGCTGCAGTTCCTTCGCACACTGTTCCTGCGCACCCGCAATGTCCACTATTGCACGCTGCGCGCCGAGCTGCTGATGGCGCTGCACGACCTGGAGGTGCAGGAAATCATCTCGATTGATCCCTGTCACAAGTTCACCTGGTGCCTGGATGCCTGCATCCGTGAGAAGAATGTGGACATCAAGAGATCGCGCGAACTGCAGGGATTCCTCGACAACATTAAGCGCGGCCAGGAGCAGGTGTTGGGCGATCTCTCGATGACCCTCTGCGATCCGTATGCCATCAACTTTCTGGCCACCTCGGCGATCAAGATTCTACACCATCTGATCAACAACGAAGGCATGCCGCGGGACAATCAAATTCTGATACTCCTGCTGCGAATGTTGGCTCTCGGTCTCAGTGCCTGGGTGATGATCGACTCGCAGGACTTTAAGGAGCCGAAGCTAGACTGTCAGGTGGTCACCAAATTTCTGCCCGCCCTCATGTCGCTCATGGTGGACGATCAGTGTCGCAGCCTGCATGGTAAATTGCCGCCGGATGAGCGTGAGTCCGCATTGACCATCATTGAGCATTCGGGTCCGGCGCCCGATGCCGTTGAGGCGTACATCCAGGAGAGTGCGGTATCCAGCATTCTGGCCATGTACTATACCCTGCACACGGCCCGCCTCAAGGATCGTGTGGGTGTGCTGCGCGTCCTGGCCATACTCTCCGCCTGCAAGGATCATCGCGCCTACGAGGATCCCTTCCTACACTCCCTGGTGAGCGAAATGCGCCACATCCCCATGGGGTGTCCGATCGAATCATTCGTTCTTGTTTCTTGTAGATTGCTCTGCTCATTCCGATGAGCGATGAGTTCTCCACCGAGGACTTTTGCACCACGCTCTTCGATGAGTTCATCTTTGCGGGTCTCACGCGCGAGAATGTCACCTCGAGGCACATGCTGAAGCTGCTGTGGTATGTACACAACAAGCTGCCCTCCTGCCGTTTGGGCACACTGATGAAGGCCATGCAGCCGACGACGGCACACAATGAACATGTGCATAAGCTGTACGAAACGCTGACGGATCGGATTGCGGCGGGCACACCAGAAACACCGGTGGTGGAGGCACCGCCAGCGGACTTTGATTCGCCATTGAAGTCAGTGCCAACGCCAGGACCGCATTACAATGCGCAATAGCCAGAGGCCACGGTGGTCGCGGTAACAGCGGCTGTCGTCGGATGATGGACAATTAATGCTCTCGCAAGAGTGTTACACGAGATAATTCTAACAGCAGATAGATGATGTAGTTTACAGATAGAGACACAGAGAGAGAGAGAGGGAGAGAGAGAGTATTAGCCGTAGAATGTTTTTTTGTACTGATTTCCCGAGCCGTCTCCTGGGTTTATCCTTTTATCCTATTTCAATTATCAATCATACATTAATAGCCCATGTCCGCCATATGTCTGTCTGTTTTAGAGAACTAAAGCGGGAGGGAGGCTTCTTCTGCTTCAGATTCAGGCTCATATCACAATATATACACACATCTAGCAGTTGCCTTAAAACAAAAATAAGAAAGCAATCAAACAAATTGTAGTTAAATATTAGAAATCATATTTATAAATATAGTGCATGTATATTTAGTATATGTATATATACATACATATATATATACATATATATATACACAAATAATATATATATATATATATGCCTAGGCAGTGATTGGCACGCACACACTCATATATTTTGCAGTTCGTTTCAGTGCGTAGAAAGCAGACAAAACGAAACAGCCACTGGCAGCAGCAGCGCACTTTCCTATGCACACAATATCACCGAACTAAAGGATAGATAGCTAGATGTGCAGGGGGGAGCGCGAGTGATAGGTAGCATCTCTATCTATTCTGGGACGCTTAAGCATCCTTTATTGTTTTTTTTTTCTTATGCTTGTGTTGATCATACACAATTTATGGAGAATATTCTCTATATAGCATGAAATCTTTATAATATACAAATCGTGGCAATCGAAGGATATATACAGTCATGTGATTAATAATAAGGACACTTGGCCATGCTTCAGAAAATGCTCTATAAAATGACTATTTTCTGGAATTTTGCGGTGATCTTAATTTTTATTAGTAGATTTATGTTTGCACTCCATAAATAAAAAGTAAAAAACCCAAGTATAATGGTGAAAAAAATAATAAAAAATTTGGTTCGGTGCGTCATTGACTTTTGGCTGTGCGAAATAATAGGGACACCGAAATAAAACATGTTATATTTCGTAAAAACAGCATGTTTCCAAGAGGTGTTTGGTCTTAAACTATTGATTGTAATTAGCTTTTGTAATTTTAGATATAAAAACATCCATAAAACAAAGTTTAGATATTAGGATGGAAGGGATGTGCTTAAAAGTACCAGATACCCATGGACATGAAAAAGTCCACAAAATGGATTTTCGTTACGGAATATTTGCCGAAACATTGACGTTTTCCAAGGAAAGTAATGATAATGCAATAAAACATACTACTAGGAGGAAACACGAGAAAAAAAATCAAAAATATTCCAATTTGAAGAAAATGTGATGAGATTCGTGAGGCAAGACACATTTAAAAATTCTTATAATTAAAAAAAAAATATTCTATGGAGGCAAACCCTTCTAAAATATGAATAATACTTGAAGCTAACAATCTAAAGTCCAAGAGACCCCAAAAAGTTCCGTGTCTATTGAATAGGGATATACCAAAGATGATGATGGTCGCTGCGGACCATGAACCATGGGCCTGAGAACTAATAGCACAGCATCCTCTGGTCGAATAAGAGAAAATGTCATGTTTTCTACTTTGATTGATAGCTCAGCATGTGCGAAGACCAATAAACACAAATTTGAAGAACTTAAAACTATTTAACATAAATTATGGTATGGGGGTGCCATGGTTCATGGTCCGCAGCGACCATCATCATCTTTGGTATATCCCTATTCCATAGACACGGAACTTTTTGGGGTCTCTTGGACTTTAGATTGTTAGCTGTAAGTATTATTCATATTTTAGAAGGGTTTGCCTCCATAGAAAATTTTTTTTTTAATTATAAGAATTTTTAAATGTGTCTTGCCTCACGAATCTCATCACATTTTCTCCAGAATTCGGAATATTTTTGATTTTTTTTCTCGTGTTCCTCCTAAGTAGTATGTTTTATTGCATTATCATTACTTTCCTTGGAAAACGTCAATGTTGGCAAATATTCCGTAACGAAAATCCATTTTGTGGACTTTTTCATGTCCATGGATATCTGGTACTTTTAAGCACATCCCTTCCCATCCCTAATATCTAAACTTTGTTTTATGGATGTTTTTATATCTAAAATTACAAAAGCTAATTACAATCAATAGTTTAAGACCACCTCTTGGAAACATGCTGTTTTTACGAAATATAACAGTTTATTTGGTGTCCCTATTATTTCGCACAGCCAAAAGTCAATGACGCACCGAACCAAATTTTTTTATTATATTTTTCACCATTATACTTGGGTTTTTTACCTTTTTTTTATGGAGTGCAAACATAAATCTACTAATAAAAATTAAGATCACCGCAAAATTCCCGAAAATAGTAATTTTATAGAGCATTTTCTGAAGCATGGCCAAGTGTCCTTATTATTAATCACATGGCTGTATATATATAGTAGATATTGGCATTTGCTGGTGCGTACACAAATGACCAAAAATTGTTTCAACTTATTATGTAAATTGTTGCGCGAAACGTAATTGATTGATTAATTCATTTTAGAAAACAAATAATATATACAAATATATATACATATATTGTATGCCTAATATAGAGTACAAATCTATCAAGACGTTCTTTTTATTGGGTTTGCTAATTGTTTTAATAATTTTAATTGTTAAAAACATACAATTATAGCTAATACTTAGCAATCTTATGCTATCTATCTAGGACGACTGTACAGTTGGTAAAACGCATTTAAAAAAAAAGACAGACAAATAATTAGACGTAGGTTAAAAATGGAGGCACACGCACGATTAGAGTGCGTGCGGTGCGCGTCTCTCCTGCTCTCCCTCATGTTTCTTAGTCTATAAAGATGTACAATTTCTTAATCGTTCTGTAGATGGAAGTCAGCAGTCAGCAGAGGAGCTGCTATTGCTGGTCTTGGGGTATAATGGAGTCCTGCCGTTTAGTTATAATGGAGATGATGTTGATGATGATGATGAATGCTTGTCGTTTCCGTGGCAAAAAGTACACAAATCGGTGCCTGCCCTGCCGTTAGTGCCGTTATCTTAGGGATATAATGGACTGGGCGGTTGGGGCGACTCTGTTTCCGATTGTGGTGTGTCGGGCGACTGTGTGCCAGACTGTGACGGACTGGATGACACAAAGTGCGTCTGCAGCGGACTGATTGTCACAGTCTGTGCGAGCACCTGACCAGGTGGCGTGCCCGATGACTCTGTGCCCGATTGTGGGGTGTCGGGTGACACTGTTCCCGGACTGGGCGACAAAACCTGACCAAGTAACACCATGCCCGATTGTGGGATGGCGGCTGACACCGTTTGGGGCAGTTGTGGCGGACTAGGGGAGACCGTTTGGAGGGGCAGTCGTGGCGGACTAGGGGAGACCGTTTGGGGAAGACGCGGCGGACTGGGTGACACCGTTGGCGGCACACTTGGTGGACTGGGTGACACCGTTGGGGCCACACTTGGCGGACTGGGGAACACCGGCTGCTGCGGCGCAAGTGGCGGACTGGGTGATGTCGATCGTCGCTGTGGCGGTGCGGGCGTGGCAAAGATATCCTCAATGCGCTGATTCCTAGAGAACTTCAAGAGCTCCGTGTATTCGGTGTGCAGGCGCCGCCACTGTCCGTGCGACTTCAACGTGTCTAGCACGCACTGCGCCAGCTCGTGCTTCGACGTGAACTAGAGCGAGAGGGAAGGTACGCTTACAGGTTGTGGGTAAGGGCATGTCGAGGTGACATCGCTTACCATCGCTATGCCCGTATCCGAAGCCGAGATCAGCTCATCGAGGAAGGTGCGCAAACGCTTCTCCGAGCCATAGGCGGACAATTGGAGGGCCTGCATCGTGTGCCAGTGCTTGAGCTCATCCGCCGATTGCAGGGCCTCGCACAACTTGATTTGATTGTCAATGAACAGAATTTTCGCCGTCTGCTGCCAGCTCTCCAATTTTCTCCTGCAAAAGGGAAGGACATAAATTTACCAATGGATTGTGGAATGGTTTTACGTGCGGGAGGGGGTGGTGACTTACAGTTCCATGCCGCTGCCGAGAACAAAGTAATTCTGGCTACTGGCCTGCATGCTGAGCAGCGGAAATTTGCGTGCCACAAGATCCTCATCCCGTGGCAGTGTGCCCCTGATGCCATGGTACATGATCGCATCCTTGGTGGCCAGCACCAGCCACGACTCGAGGCTGGTCGAGTACGAGTACGAGTTGCCATTGGGGAAGCCAATCAGCGGCATGCCCTGATCCGTCACCGAGAACTGAACGACCGCTCCATGCTTGGTGAGCAGCTCCTTGCAGCCGGCGGCCAGGTTAATCATCGCTGACGCAATATTCCAGATGCGCAACAGGCCGCATTCGGTGAGCACTCCTACCAGACTGTTGTCGGGACTCTGCGGGAATGGTAAAGGTTTAACTTTTGCTTGAGATGGGCGCGGGGCGAATACTCACAAAGGCGCAATGTACAGCGGAGCTGGAGAGGGCAATGGCTGGGAAGACATGACAGCCCGTTTCCATCGATATCAGCCGCATGCTGCCGTCCAGGGAGCAGAGCATGCAATACTTGGCACAGAGATTCACATTCACCACGGGCGAACCCACATAGAACTCCCAGAGGAACTCGCTATCGATGCTGGCCGTCACCTTGGCCAGCATTCCGTGACTCGTCTTCAGGTGACCATTCTGTACGAGCAGCCTGTAATCGAGGGCCGTCTTTACGAACTCACTCTTGGCCGTGGCCGTGATATTGAGTTTCGGACCCATCGTTGTCCCCTGATGCTCGTCGGGGGTCTTGGGTCTGCGTGAAAAGTCCGCCTGTTGGCTAGGATCAAAGGCCGTCGTCTGGCGGCGATGAGACTGCTGGTTTTTGCGTGCCGCCGACACAAGTGGCTCGGGCATTCGTGGCGTAACGGCACACTCCGTGGGGGTAGTGGCATGCGAACCCTCTATCGCTGCTGCCACTGCTGCTGTGGGCACTCCACTGCAGGAGGAGATCGTTGGCGCACGCTCCTCCTCGTTGAGCGGTATAAACATGGGCGTAATCCTACGTTTGCCATCCTTTGTCCGTGTCTCGGTCTGTTGGCTGATGGGTCGCTGGGCGTTGGAGGCCGTGCGTCGCTCCAGGGCGGCATTGGGCAGGGGAAAGTGCAGCGACGACGTACGCAGGGCCGACGACTCTGATTGGTATGGACAGCTCTGATCGGCTGGCTCCACCGTCGTCTTGTTGCCAAAGCCCAAACCGGCGCCATACAATTCCCCATACTCCTTCATGAACAGCGCATCCATCATCTCCTGGGAGAGCCGTTGGCCGAGCTCCTCGTCGGTAAACTGCAGGCATGCCACCGTACCGTCACCGCTGCAGGCCATCAGCAGACGCTGGTCGGGGCCCCAGGATAGGTCCAGAATGCTGTCCTCGAACAGTTCGTGGATGAGAACCAGCGGCCGCTGCAGAGCCGTCATCCAAACGGAGAGCGAGCGATCCCTGGAGCCGACGGCCAGGCAGCAGTACTGCCGCTGCTTGAGGCCGTCGGGCATCGGGCGGATCAGCACAGAGTTGTGGAAGCGCGTACAAGTAACGGCCTTGCGGTGGCCCACAAAATCCTTGTCACACCGCCAGCCCTCGCGCTCGATGATCTGTGCGGTGGGTACGCCACCATTCATGGCATGGGCCGAGACCAGATATTGGCCATCCGGCGACCAGGAAAGCCGCAGAATATGCGTCGTGCCGCCGCACTCCTCGAACGGCTCTGTGATGGTCTCGGATAGCGTCCAGTCCATGGTGTTCCACATTTTGATGCTGTGATCGTCGGACTGCGAGGCGAGAAACCTTCCAACCGGATCCCAGGACACACCCTTTACCAGACCCGTGTGCCCCTTCAGCGTGGTCACCATCGAGGGGAACGCCTGGGCATCCCAAATGATGACAGTATTGTCGATGCTGCAGCTGGCCAAATAGATGTCATTGGGGGACCAGGCCAGGTCCAGGACGTCGCCAGCATGCCCACGCAGCGTGTGAAAGCACCGCCACGACTCGTGATTCTTCTGCATGCCCCCGGTGCCAAAGACACCGCTGGATCCGGTTATTTTGCGCCAGATCATAATCAGCTTATCGTCGGAGCCCGAGGCCAGGTACACGCCGTTCTGTGACCATCGCACACAGTTGACGCACGCCAGGTGCTGGTCCATCTGGCACAGCATCTTCGGTATTGCCTCATCGAACTCATCCTTCTCGCTGAGCACCGGCTGAAGATTCCAGATAACGACACGACCGCAATCGTTGCCCTGCCCGCCGGTGGCGAACTTTGTACAGTCCTGATGGATGTCTACCGAGAATATTTGCTTTGCTGCAAACACACACAAAAAACAGAAAAAAAAAAAAAGGTTAAGGACTTGCTGCAGCAGACTCGGGCTAGTGGTGCTCCTCCTCTCTCTCTCTCCCTTACTCACCATCGTGATGGACCCATGCGGGTTTTAGGAGCTTCATGGAAACACAAAGACCTGGCGACCAAAGGCGAGTATCTTGTTGCGAATGGATCTCTCCCAAATCGAACTAATAATTAATTTTTTTAAACATTTACAGCCGGCCTTACAGTGGGTGGTATTATCCGCGGATTTATCGATAGATACCATTAAATACCAATTCAGCTTCGAGAAATACCATTTAAATACCATACCATAAACCAGGGCACTAACCATACAGTATATAGATGTGCCAGTTCATACAACGAAAGGGGCGCAGCTGAGGTTTCTGTCCCAGCACCCCCAGGTCTTCGGCTAGGGTGCTGGGACCATTCGGCTGTGGTGCTGAGACGTTCGGGTCGTATGTCTGAGACGTTCGGCATTTTTTCGACATGTTCGATTCATGACGAGATGCGAAAGCAAGCTGAGAATTGCAAATGTATGTGTGCAAACAGACACGACAAAATTTTGTATCAATTCTTATTTTCCGAAACCGTTTTGAGTTTGTTTTGAGTTTCGTTTCCAGGTTACGTAAATGTGTGTGTGCCATGTATTCACACATACTGTGCTTGTGTGTGGGCTCTACAATTGTTGGCCGCTTGAATTGGTTTTTCATTTTGTTTTGAGGGCTGATGTGATGTAGCGACCTATTCAGGGCCGGATCAACCCTCAACCGGGCCCTAAGCAACCATCAATCTGGGGCCCTCCTTTATTTTGTATTTTTCTCAGTGGCTATTATATTTTTTATTCATTATTTGGAGTTTTGTTTTTTCAACAAAATTTTTCTGTTATCCCTAGGGGGCCCTAGGCAACTGCTAGTCCGGCCTGGACCTATTCCCGTCGTAAGACTTCATATTTTCTTGGTGTGTTCTGTCGCTCGACTCGACGCGGGTCGGGTCGAGGCATTGACGAAGCCGTTCATAAAATATTTTTTCGTTTTGTTTTGAAAAGCTGATGTTGCGTCGAGCGCGTAGGTTATTTCTTCCATTCTCTTTTAGGCTAGCCTTTGCCTCTGCTTTCGGCTTCGTCAATGCCTCGACCCGCGTCGAGTCGAGTCGAGCGACAGAACACACCAAGAAAATATGAAGTCTTACGACGGGAATAGGTCCAGGGCCGGATTAGCAGTTGCCTAGGGCCCTCCTAGAAATAACAGAAAAATTTTGTTGAAAAAACAAAACTCCAAATAATGAATCCAAAATATAATAGCCACTGAGAAAAATACAAAATAAAGGAGGGCCCCAGATTGATGGTTGCTTAACCGGTCTAGGGTCGATCCGGCCCTAATAGGTCGCTACATCACATCAGCCCTCAAAACAAAATGAAAAACCAATTCAAGCGGCCAACATAGAGCCCACACACAAGCACAGTATGTGTGAATACATGGCACACACACATTTACGTAACCTGGAAACGAAACTCAAAACAAACTTAAAACGGTTTCGGAAAATAAGAATTGATACAAAATTTTGTCGTGTCTGTTTACACACATACATTTGCAATTCTCAGCTTGCTTTCGCATCTCGTCATGAATCGAACATGTCGAAAAAATGCCGAACGTCTCAGACCCACGACCCGAACGTCTCAGCACCACAGCAATGGTCCCAGCACCCTAGCCGAAGACCTGGGGGGTGCTGGGACAGCAACCTCAGCTGCGCCCATTTCGTTGTATGAACTGGCACATCTATATACTGTATGGTTAGTGACCAGGGCAATCCGGTGATCAATCGGGACTTAACCCCCTTAACACACCTCTATTTAAAATGTTGAGCACCCTTTGTTAAGCCGCGGAAAATAATACTGTTTGTAAGGGCTCCTTGTAGCTTCTTCCTCCTCTTTACTTACAAAACTAAAAAAAGACCACCGATATCGTTCACCTGTAATGCGTAAAATATGTTAAAGGTACATACATTTCGTGGAAATATTAAATACCCCACTGGTCGACAATGGGCTAACGTTCTATTTTATTGATGGAAATCGTATTCCATGATTTTGATATTCAGTTCAATATTACTAGCTAGTTGGCCCTCTCAGCCCTAAACAACTAATTTTATCCGTTAGATTCATCAATTTTCTACAAGATTGGCTAGTTTTCAGAAGTTCTTTTTATTGCGTTGTTTACATAAAAAGGTTCAAACAAAAAGGGCCACAGCATAAAAGGTAAATGTGACGTCATTGTTGCTGATCAACAATGCGTATGTACTTTTCTATACCTTATTTCCTTTAATTGATGTTAAATTTGTTGTTCCAAGCTCCATTGAAACATTAATAATGATTTTATCCTAGATTGAGATGTTTATTACCTATTAAGGTATGTATATGTTTTGTGTTTAAAAAATACATTTATCCCGGTTCTGATATATTTTATTGGTACCCGTCAGCTACAAAATATCTTTAAAACAGAGACTGAGTAGTTTCTTCATTAATTGGAGCCTGAAATTGCAAGCAATATCTCAATTCCATAATATCCATTTTCCCAAGGTACTCAAATTTGTATGAAAAACCTTAAACAAAACAATAGTTTTGCCGAAAATTCTTTGCAGTATGAGTTGCGTGCAAACATGGATTTTAAAATGGAATATTTGTATTGCATATTTATTTGTTTAAAGCCCCACCCCACTCTGAAATTTCCTGCTTTTGTGACTTTTCTAGTCGGTTGTTTTCGCAAATATCAACCTATTCGCCTAATATCACGCGCTTTTTACGCTTTTTCGCTAATTTACAAAACGGAAGAACAAATTTAATTTAAATAGAAAAAACGACTTTCTACAAGAAAAAAGAATTTTTTCTTATAAGCTAATTTATTTTGAATTAACGAATAACAAAACCAATATAGTTCCAACATTGTTTTAAAATGAATAATTAATTAATACCCCCATTAAAGAAAGAAAATTTAAATATGAAAATACGCCTCAGGAGCGGTTTAAAAATTATGCTGTGGAAGCAGCACAGGTGCCGCAACGTTTTGCAAATAAGTTTTCGGCTCGAAATATTCGGCCAGAGGAGTGGTTTTTGACGGCAAGGACACCTGCCAAATAGACACTTCAAAATTTACGAAGTAAAAATCAAATGGGAGCAATTCTAAGTGGGCAAAAATATTTGATAGGTACAAAGCTGCCGTAGAAGCGTTTTATTGACAGAAAAACTTTGATGGAAAATTTGTTGTGGTCTCTGAGAATATTTTCAAAAACTCATGAGTCTTGGTAGCTCTCAAAAATATATATAATTAGAATCAGTTGACACTGCAAGTGCCCCGCCTTTCTTTTCATTATATTTTCTTTTGTTTTCATTTGAATAGCCCGCATGGGGGTGGAGTAAAACTAACGAAAGGAAACGAACTACTAAAGCACGAAACTGGCGCTTAAGCGCCTTGCTGCCATTGGTCGGTGCCTGGGTTCTGGGCGTGGTATGGGCCAAGGGGGATGGATGCTTTGCTGCCATCTACAGAGATGCCTCCAAATCAAAATCCAAATAGCACAAACAATCTGGGAGAAAGATACGGCCAAGAAAGACATCAATTCAAAATTGCTTTTGCACAATTTCTCATTTGCGTAATTGACATGCATGGAATTTTGTCGCAAGTGTTTGTTTATTTGCTCAATTGTTTGCCTTGTGCTTGCCGCAAATTTGGTAGTAGAAATCTATTATGAGATTCGAAGAACTCCTTCCCCCCAAGTGCAAAATCAAGCAACTCTCTCAAGGCAAGCCGCAAATTGACTGACTGACAGGCAAACCAGACACACAGACCAACTGTCTCAATAAAGTGAAAAACAGAATAATAGCAGACAACAGTCTCGTCCCCCCAGACACAGAACCGCCATACCTGGGACAATTTGAAATCCACCGTATCTGTTGCCGGCAACATGTGGCGTCAATGATGTTCCTGCTTGCTGCCTGCTGCCTCCATCCACTAAATCCAGGATATCCCAGCCCATCCAATTCCACTTGACAATTGCCAACAAAGCGCACGTAAAGCGATTACAGTCTGCGTGAGTGCATGGAAATGGATCCTGGTCCTGAGAGTCCTCCTACTTCTACTCCTGCAGCTTACAGCTTCGCCACATCTGCTTCTGGGTGTTTGTGTGTGTGTGTGTGTGTGTGTGTGTGTGTGTGTGTGTGTGTGTGTGTGTGTGTGTGTGTGTGTGTGTGTGTGTGTTTGGTGTCTCTGGCGGATATTTGGCAAATCCGACGCCGACGCCAGCGGCACTTAAGCTGCTCAAATATGTCCCCATTGTGGGGCCACAATGCAAGATTTTCAGCACCAACAAATCGTCCGTAAATATGCAATGGCAGTGTCCAAATGGGTAACTGGGATAGGTAAAAGCAAGATTTGTTTATGGACAAAATCTATTTAAAAAAAATTATATTTATTTTTCAGTATTTTATTGAACTCAAAACTGTTCTAAGTGTGATCCATCACTTGATCATTTTTTGGGCTCCGATCTTCGCTTTTTCTCTGATTTTCCGGAACCCCAACAAAATTAGCTACAATTCCAATTTAATTAATCAAAAAACCGTTTAAAAAAAAAATTTCCAATTCTCGTAAAAATTAATTCATTAGCCAAAGCTAAAAGAGAAAAATTAGGAAATTGAAAATAAAGAGGAAGTGAACAAAAAAAATCCAGCCCAAAATCAAGACCTGAAAAAAAACTCGCGAACGTCTGCGTTGATTGTGCTTGATGGATGGTTGGATGGATGGATGGATGGATGGATGGATGATGGACGGATGGCAGAACAGGCTGCTTGAAACGTTCATCCACAAACACTCATAATGGGGAGGTTGCTGATGCTAAAAGCAAATGACAATCACAATGGAATGGAGGAGGAACATTGCAGTGGACGGGGCCGTGCCGGGAACAACGGTAACATTTAACAAAAAGACAACAAAGTTTAAAATCTAAAAATGCACAAAATCTGTTTTGCTGGTCATCGAAGTACAGATGCCCTTTCCGTTTGAGTACAAATAAAATTTGTGTTCTCCTTTTTAAATATTATTTTAAATCTGTTATAATATAAATGATGTACGCGAAAAGATGAGTATCAGTTGACATTGGAAACGATGGATCGGAAAGTGTAGAACGATTTTTTTTGCTTCCGATCACCTTTGCTTCCTTTCTTTGTTTTATTTTCTATTCTTTTTTTTTTTATATGGATAATTAAATTGTCATAATTTCCCCAAAGTCAGAAACTTTTACTTCTAGCTGCTACTGATATTTTCACGAATTTAATATACATATGTACATACATACATATATTCATAAATCAATGTAGTCTCTGAGTTCCAGGTACAAACAAATATAATATTATACGAGTATGCCAAAGTCTGTTGGAGTCGCTGAAGATTTGATCACGTTCGGTTCTAGGCATTCCACTTCGTGCCCTCCTGTAAAACAGAAAACTGCATTCCCTGCGCTACAAGCATTTCATCATAATTATAATACCCGCTTTGAGGGTGTACAGCAAAAAATCTAAGTGAAGAATGCAAAACATACAGAAGGGGGTGGGTGGGGGAGGGGACGATGTAAAGAGGGGTACAGCCACGGCACATTGCATTTTACATGCAAACAAACAAATAAGCCCAAGCCCAGGCCCACCCAGCAAAACCACCCACCAGAGTGGAATCCTCTACTTTCCACCCACCAACAACTGGTGTTCCACTCTGCCACTGTCTGCCTCTTTCCCACTTTCTGTCTCTTTCTCTTTTTCTTCTTCTCGTGCTCTTGGTCTTCTTCTATATCTACTATATGCCTCTCTCTGTCGTTCGTTGAACATTTCAATCAACGCTCGAGTGAAATGTGAAAAAAAAAAAAATAATAAAAGGAAGGATAATATGGGAAGTGAGTGTGGTTGATGGGTGCAGGGATAGGTGGTGCAGAGAGGCCGTGCTAGTGGGTGGTACGGTGGTATGTCTCGCCGCCCAAGCGGAAATGGATGCGCACACAAAAGTGGCACAAATTGTGTGGCATGTGTGGAGACGCAGCGTTGTTGCATGTTGTACGAGTAGAAAATAAGAAGAAAACTATTCAAAAGAGCAAAAGAGAGAGATATAAATACGAACATATATAGAAAGAACGGGAGCTAGAAAGGGGTTACACAACCAGAGAAGGAAAGAGATAGTGGGATGATATTGAGCGATGGAGCGATCTTCATCTCTGTGACATTGAGTGATGGAGAGAATGAGAAATTAGCAGAGAAGGCATGGCAAAGGAATAGACAAAGAGAATAGGAAAGGCGGAAAGTAACGGAAAGAATCATAGAGAAGGAATCGAGAAGAAAACATTGAGATCGAGGGGAAACGAAATACAGAAACACAGATGGAATTTAAAGAACGAAATAATAAATTTAAAAAAAGCATGGGTAATGTTTTTTACTTTATTAGTAAAAATCCTTTAAGTTTTGCCCTGGCGATCCCCATGCAACCCATGGACATTCTGGATTACGGACACGCAACTTGAGGGAATCCCAATATTGCAACAGCCGCTGGTACATGCTGTGTCCTGTGCCCCCACATCGCTCCTTACCAGGAATTGCCATAACAACCGTTAACCGAGATACATTTAAAAGCTCGAGCCGTGTGGTGTGGTATGGCAGAAGTCCACCCAAATAAAAAACTGGTAAAAAAAAGCAGAAGAGGAAATGCGACGACCAGCACCAAATCCAAAGTGTAAACATTCACAGCCTCCGTTTGTGTGGGTGGGAGGTGGGTCGGCACAGACACTAGACAATGCTGCACACAACCTAACCACTACACCCGCCCACCCAACCATTCATCCCCCCACTCCACGTTGGGCAATGGGTAACAACAGCTTCCTTCCGGGCTGACGTTTGATGTGCAGTCATTGGAGATGCTCCAGCTCCGTCTCCCTTTCTGCCAACAGCTTGTGGCCAGAGCTTACAAAAAAAAAAAAACACAGAAAATAACGAACCAAAAATGCGGTATTTATTTCAAACAAGTTCAAGAAAAAAAAGAAGCAAAACGAAAAATAAAGGCCTTCTGGCTTTGGGTGTATCGCAGCATTAGATGCCCTTTTGCTGAGCTATCGATATAGATTTACAGATACAGAGCTACGGTTTTACATTCATCGATGATGGTCATCCCACTGGGATGTTCAATTTCCATTCAATTAAATGAAAGGTGCCTTTCGCTTATGGGAACAGAAATATACGCATTTAACCATTAAAATCTTATTGAAAATTGAAATTTATAAGGTTTTTTCTTGGATTATCTGCGAACAATCACTTATTAATTTTCAAGGGTTAGGGTATTTAGGGTATGCATGTGATAGAGATAGGTGCTCTAGGTATATATTAATATGTACTCTAATGGAATCAAAAATGCTTCGTTTGCAAAGTCAACATACCCTTTTGCAAAAGGATATACGCGTACAGTAAAAACAAGCGAAAACATGAGCAAAAGAAAGCAAAATGGGGATGGGATGGGATGCGCATCCCGATGCGGCTGCTACTGCTTTTATTGCCGGTGGCAATGTCCATGTTGCATACATCCACACGCTCCACTCCACCCCCCACCTCATACACATTGCAATTGCCAGGCAACAGCTTGGCTCTGGGCACGGGATGGAGGGTGGCAGAGGTGTCGCTAATGAAGTCGCAAACAGTTGGCAGTAACAAAAAATAAAAAAAAAAATACAGAAATTAAGCAAAGAAACCCCACGCAACGCTCTACATACGCGCCGCTGCCGCGCACTGCCTCCGCGCGCCTTCATTGTAATAGAAATTATAAGCTTATGCTGTGCCACCACAGCCACTCCCCGGCCATGCAGACCCGCTCCCCTGGCGCCCAGTGGAGCTGTGCGCTGTCGTTTTAGCAACACGTTGCCCATATCCAAGGTTCCTGCAATCTTTTGTTCTACTCGCAAATGGGTACAAAGCCGGAAGCTGGAAGACCGGGAGGAGGATGGATGGAATAGTAACAGTAATTGAAAATGGGCAACGTTGCATGTGAGTGGAGAGAAAGGTTCGCACATATGTACATATGTATATGAAATCTATTACTAAAGTTAAGCTCAACTGAGAATCCTATCCAGGGTATCCTGATGTCAACATCAAATTATTTTCCGATGTCTTTGCTTTGCATCTGTTAGAAGATCGACATGAAATTTTGGTAGCACATTTTTCGGGATAGAATTTCATAGCATCTGTTTCTATATATGTGTAAAGTTTATCAAGTTACCTCTGTGGCATACATCTATATGCCCCGATCTTGCGGTGATCCAATCCAAAATGAAAGCCCAAACAGCTGGCAGCACCCATTCGGTTGAAAAACTGTTGCGTGGGCTTTCATTCTTCGGGCGAATGCTGCTGCTGCCACAAGGGTGGTTTCGTTTCCCCTTACTCGCATTCGCATTCGCATTCAACACTTTTCATACTGGCAGTGGCAGTGGCAGTGGCTATGGCTGTGGCTGTGGCTGCTGCTGATGCGCACCACCAATGCCAACAGGCACTGAAGCGCACTCCCACCTAGCTAACGGTGGCTGCTGTTGCTGTTGCTGCCACTGCCGCTGCTGTTGCTGCTTCTGCTCCGTTTCATTCCCAACAATTCATAATTTTAAAATCGTACCAAACGCACACGCCTCGTCCTCGTCCTCGGTCGCTGCTTCTGGCTCTGCCACTGCCACAGCCTCTGTCGCTGTCTCGGTCTCGGGACTCGTTGCTGCCACACTGGCACCGGCAGTGGCATTCATTTCATTTGATTTTTAACTGTCATCGACGGCAGTTCAGCATCTCTCGACCAAACACTTCCAGTGCCCAATTCGGCCTGTGATATTTTTTTTCTTTTTTTTGCCAGTGAATGTGAGACAACAAAAATACATTTGAAGATCCAAAATCCAAGGTGAGATCGCGTTCGACGAGTGTGATTTTTTGTTTTGTTTTTTGCTTGAATCGGAGAGCATTACAAAACAGAAAGTAATCCAAACTCCCAGAAGTGCAACACAATCCCAGAACGGCTCTGAAGTGTCTAATTACCCAGATCTCTATTGGCGTCGCTTTTTCCTGCAAGAAGTTTCAATGGTTTCCGATTCGTTTAAGGCATCTACGGATATGACTTGCTTAGCTCTTGGGAATTAAGTACATAAGCCCTTCGCTGGCATCTTCTTTCAATCATCCTTCATATAATGGAAACAAAAATTGACTCTTTCTGGGTGATTTATAGTTCCTGAATTTAAGGGGAAGGAAATATTTTTTTTGGCGGAAAATCTCAACCTATTCACTCCACACATTTCCTTCCGTTGACTTTCTTTAAACTTTCATTACAAAATGTAATCAAGTACTTACTGAATAGTTGGGCTATAGAGATTAGACAGCAAAAGTACTCGGAGAGTACACGCACGGAAATACTATGACGCCTCTGCCTAACAGATTTCTAATTTATCATTGACTATCCGAAGATTTTGTTGGATTGGACACCAATCGTAGCGCCTTTTTGTTGAATAATTATACAATTACCCATAGACTTCGATATCCGATTTGCTTTTGCTTAGCGATCCATAGCTAGATGGAGCTTAACAGCTGCAAACTTCAGCTCTGAAAATCTCTGGATTTCTGTTCAGCATTTCTCGCTTAAAATTTACCAGGCCTAACTTTTTGCGCTGTTTTATCGCTCATTTTAGCTATTTTGGGGATTCCTTTGGTCCACTTCGAGCTCATTACACATAAAATTAATAGAAAATGCATAAAAAATGTTTGATTATCAAATCACTGACCAACTTCCATTCAATAGAGCTGTTTATACATATATAGAATAGAAATCAAAATTGTCTGATTTGATACGCTTTTTTGCCATTTATCTGTAATTTAAAAAATTTGCAGAGATATCTGTGGCTGTTTCAGACAGCTATAACCTACAAGAGCTGGATGAAAGTTATGTGCAATGCCCTTTGGTTTAGTTCCGATTATATATGGAATAAAAATGTTTCAATTATTCAATGAACATCCAAGAATTGGATCATTTTGAAGAACTTAATCCCCTATGTTCTTGTCAACTCCCAGCTCCCAGTCCCAGTTCCACTTCCAGTCCCATTTTTAGTCCAATGAACCAAACCAAACCACATCACAGCACAGTCCAATCCAACCCCACTACACTTACGATTTGCACATCCCTTTCCTCCTCCCTCCCCTCGTATGTCATGCAACCCAATGTGAACTTCAAAATGAAGCTGAAATTATTTAGCCATAACTCAAACACGCATCAAGGCCACAGCCACAGTCACAGCCACAGCCCCTGAGGGGTGGACCACTCGGATCACTCTCACATGGAGAGAACCTGCCGAAAAGGGTTCAAATCAAATTCGATTTGGGCAACGATGTGTGGCAACGACCAAAGTTGCAAATGAAATTTTGTCAAATTTTCAGGCAATGCAGGACGCACAGGACACACAGGCCGGGGCCTGGGCCTGGGCCTGGGGGAATCCCCCCTGGTCTGTCTGCATATGGACTGGAGTCCGTACACACGCACATGCCATCCTGTAGAGAGCCACAAGTGGCACATTATTTTAATTCGCAGTCAAACGATGTAACGTTAACACCACATCGACATGTCACTGCAAGTTCATGGGTGTCTGGACGGATGGCTGGATAGCTGGATGTCCGTGTTCATGTCCGTGTCCATATGTGTCCGCACGAGTGTGTGTGGCAGTGGCAGGAGGGGCAAGCACAGGACAGGAACAGCAATGGCAAAGGGGAATGTAAATGGCTGCTAATTGAGCAAGAGTTTTACCCTTGTAGCAGTCGATTTCTGGGCTTAAATCCGAGCCAAATTCCCTACTTTTGTTTGCGAAATATCTAAATTATTTTCAAGATTAAAGAACCTTAGTTTATTGAGCTATAAAAGCTTAAGCTTCTAGAAACTCAGTACCGCAACTCAGTCCCTTTTTTGAGTCCCTTTTTCTACATTTCCATACCCTGATTAACCATCAACGATCTACAGTTCCAATTTGGAATTATCTAATGGATATCTTAGAATTCACATTGAAGATTTTACTTGCCAAAAAGAAACTCAAACTATATTCGAAATGGAGTTTTGCATTATAGTCCCAGGAAATACTCAAGAAAAATATTTTGTATGATTTAATTTCTAGGCCAAATCGCAGTATTCTTTTCAGATTAAACGGCAAAAGTCGCACATCTGTGTTCACTGTGTCCTTTTGGTTAGGGGAACTTTCTACAGCGAATTAATATTATTAGATTGCCCCGAATTGGGCGCCTGCTCTCGGCTGGCCATCCTTCGGGGGTAAACCTCAACCCGCGATCGGGGGTTGCATGCATGCCAGGTGAGCTTTTACTCAGGGGGTTGCTGCTGCCTGCTGGCTGCTGGCTCACACTCAGTCCTCACTCACTCCATCCCTAAGCTCTGACGCGACTTATGGCTGTTATGTTGGATATGCTGTAATTATGTTATAAGTTTGCCCACAGCCCAAGTGCCAGTTAAGTGTAGCTGTATCTGTGTATGTGTGTGTGCAAGGGTTGCAACTCCTCAATTCCGGGGGTGGTGAGTCGTTTCCACTGATGCCACCACATCAATCAGTTGTGTTCTGGCGCAACCTTTAGTGGGTGACTGTGTCTTAGTGTGCTTTGGTTTTAATTGCCGCTGTTTGTAAACGAAGGGGGGCAAACAAAAAAAAAAACAACCGCACGCACAGAATTATTATGGAAAAGTACACTAGTCTCCGCAGTTATCCCAACACCCCCCACCAGCCGACGAAAGACAAACAAAACTCGCTCCAAAGTCGGGATGCACTTTGCGCATTAATCCTCAAAGTCTCTGCCCAGCTCGCTGCCTTCAGTCTCATCCTTTTGCTCCACTGCCAACCCTGCGCTCCAGTTCCATCCTCAATCTCAGTCTTAGTCCAAGAGTCTCTCTCTCTCATCCATTCTGCCTGTTTTCTCAGCTGCGAAAAGTTGCTCAAAACTTGGGTCTGGGCCATAAAAGACAAAAAAAAAAAATGAAGAAAAGTTCCCGACAGCTGCTGATTGAATATTAAAATGCTGCCCAAGCTCCATCCCCCCGCCAACTGCCTGCCCCACTTGTCTCAGTTGGTAGAGTCCCTTTGGCTATCCATAAAAAATGGCAATTAAAGCTATGCCTTGGCATCAATCAGGGCTCTGGCAAATCAACAAATTTTTCGCTTTTGGCAGATGCCAAGCCACGCCCAACCCCCTATACCTTCTCCTCCCTGTGTTCTAGTACACGCCCCCGTCATGAAAACGCCTTAATTAGCATAATCTAATTTCAACTTTGTCGCAAAAGTATTCCCCCCCCCCCCCCTCCACACCACTCCGAAAAACAAGGGGGATGCGCGGCTGCCAAAAAATGCAAATCCAGGCCCCCATCTGCATGGCTCCATACCAACGACACCACCACACTCCCCTGCCATCCTTCTGCCACTCATATATATTCCTTTGGATCGTGCAAAAGTTTTCAAAACTTTATATATTTTTACAACGAAATGAAAAAACAATAAAAATGAAATTCTCACCAATCCCCACGTCAATCCCCACGCAGGAAAAACAGCAAATGAAAAGAACGAATTGAAATGAAAGTAACAGAGAAAAAAGTGGGAATATTGTGCATACATACATATGCACGTACATCGTAGACTAGGAATACCCTTTACTGAATGTGAATTAGCTCAAGGTATATCTTCAGAACATCTTCAAATACATGATAAATATCTGATCTTTCTGTACTTCAACTCTAAGGACCCTCTTTAAGCCAATCCCTAAGCATTTATATAGAAAGTGATCTATTTATTGGGTGTCCAGGGGAATTTCTTCTCGAATAGAAAACGCGGCATTTCGTTGACGTTCAAGTTGCTTTTAAATCTCAAGTGAAATGTTATCCAAAATATATCCAACAGTAATCTTAATCTAAGAAATATAATTGATTTGAAAATTAATTTGTAAATTTCGAATAAAATTTTAACTTTTTGAAAAAGTTCTTTACCATAGAATTGATTTTTAGATTTCTCAGACCTGAGATTTCTACCTTCTTTCTGCCACTCTGTGCACTCTTTATAGCCCAGTTGATTGCTACAGGGTATCCATCCAGTGAGCGGGTAACAGGCGTCGGTTGTGGCTTGTTAAAAACTTTTTAAATGCGAAAATGAAAGAGCAACAAGGCAAGTGCCATGGATGGATGGAGGTGTAGCACAGGCTGCCTGCCAAGTGTCATGGCATGGGTTTGGGGTAGGTGTTGCCTGTGCCCCCCCCCCCCCCTCCCCAGGTTCCTGAATTGACAGCCACAGGATACAAGCCGCCAGCCACACGGCGATGACGATGGCGGCGTCAAGTGCCTCAACAGTTTGGCAACACAACAATTGAGTTTGTCCTTCCATGTTTTGTGCCAGAAAGAGAGAGCGCGATGCTTTTACGGGTGGGAAATTAGTGGTGGGTGTGCGGGCACGGGGGAGACAGGGGGGGGAGAAACATTTAATTTACTGGAATTTGGCGCAATGTGTGTAAGCTTATTAACAGCTTGAAAAAGTGGGGGGGGAGTACCAAGGGGCGTCGCTTGGAGCTGGGGGACCCGGTTAAGGGATGAGGATGAGGTTATGGCGCTTTTATCGCTGTTGTTTTTCTATGCAAATTTTTGCAAATGTTCCCTTCGCACAGCTGTTGCCTTAATAAAGTTATAACAAAGGTGTTCCGGTACACCCATCCATGGGGACAATGGAATTGATGGACCCACCCACACGGTGCTCCGCAACCAGGGTGGTGCTTTGATTTCATCCATCAACTTGTTTAGGGCTGCAAAAAATAAAGAAAACTTTTTGATTAGCTGATTGGCATTGATATCGTTAGTTAGTCGATGGATAAAAGTGTTTGTTAAATTGCCTCAATCTGACAGCTGTTTCTATGCGACAATCGACTTAATTCCTAAGCTAAATATATTGCAAATATTTGTGTCTATTCAGTTGGATACGGCCCATAGTCGCTTAGTATATGCAAAACAAACGTCAATTGTTAATCGATTAATTAACTAACTCGACTGGACAGAGTTTTAATTTCGATAGATTTTTCTCTGTTGATATAAGATTAGATAAATATTTATTTTTGCAGATATCATATTTTTAGTTTTTAATTTATTTTTAATTTAAATCGATAGCTGCTTCCTTCCGAATATAGACTTAAGACTTCTTAAGATTATTTTCTTAATTTCCTGGCATAATATTTTCCAAATTCAACTCAAAATTCGAACACTCCACCTGCCACCTGCCGCCTGCTTCTGCCACACACAGACCCAAGACATCTGACAACTGCAAGCCACCACTCACCACCTCTTGGCGAATGGAAGGCAAACAGTAAATTCAGATTTAATTGTGGGATTCCTTGGGGCAGCAGCAGCAGCATGGAAAGGGAGGAGCACTGCCAAGACAATGCAAATATCGTACATGTTTCTATATAAATCTTGAGCGACTTCTGCCACAGACACAGTGCTAACGTCTTTTGTGTGTCCCCTCTCTCTCCCTCACTCTTTTTGTCTCTACGCAGCTATGAAGGACAGCAGCAGCAGCAGCAACATCTCAGCCAGCAGCACAGCAGGGATGCCCCAAGCGGCAGCGGCGACATCCAACAACAGTGCCACGCCCAGTACGCCCAGCACACCCACAACCGGACATGCAGCGGCGGAGACAGCAGCCGCAGCAGCCACATCGCAGCAGCCGCAGCCGCAGCCACAGCAACGTGGCAAGAGCAACATTCACGAGCTGCGCAATCAGGACTATGTGAGTCGTCTGATGGCCGCCACTCCGCCGTATCTGTACTCGGCGCCGGTGGGGCCCAACAATTTCTTCTTCAGCGACATGCTGCGGACCCTGGTGCAGGCCCGCAACAATGAGACCGCACGCGTGTTGCAGTTGCAGCAGCAACAGCAGCAGCAGCAACAACAGCAGCAGCAGCAACAGCAGCAGGCGGCCCTGGTGCGGCGTCCCCGAAAGCGATCCTGGTCGCATCGTCCCTACTACGAGCAGCTAAGGGAACGACGCGATGCGGAGGAGAAGCAGCAGCAGCAACAGCAGCAACAGCAGCAGCAGCAGCAGCAACATCAGCACCACCAGCAGCAGCAACAGCATCAGACGGTGGCGGAGAAGCCACTGGAGCTGACCAACAAGACCATGACGCCCTATGGCTATGCCAAGCTGGAGGGCAAGTCCCCAACGGTGGCACCAACTGCCCCACCAGCACCGCCCACCGGCGGCATCCCCACCAAAAACAGCCTGGGCGGAGCGGTAGACAGTTCGCTGCAGGACAACACACCGCCGGCAGCATCGTTACCGCCACAGGATCTGGTCCTGCCACCGCCACCGCCCGTATGGTATCCCCCGCTGTATGCCCCGTACGGCATCGATCCGCTGCACTTCTTCATCGATCTGCGTGTCTCCGGGCACATCTACGACCGCAAGAAGGAGAATGTCTCCCCATTGTCCAGCAGCAACAATGCGCTGGCCGCCAGCGGCGAAGACTCCTCGCCCGGCTCCAATTCGGGAACAGGTAGTGGGACCGGAACGGGTGCCGGCTCTATGTCCGCTTCCAACCTGCTGAGCAAGCAGCGCCACGGCTCCGCCTTCACCGTGCCCATACCCAAGTCGGCCCAAAACGATGCCATCAATCTGTGCTCGAACGGATCCGGCGGCATGGCAGCCGTTGGTGGCACTGCAACTGGCGCTGGAGCTGGAGCAGGACCGGGCGGAGTGACCGCCTCGCTGGGTAAATTCGAGCACTACGCCAAGTACTACGATCTGGGGGAGAGCAAGGAGAACCATCCGGCGGCATCGAGCACGGCAGCCAATCTGTCCGCGGCCGCTGCCGCCGCCGCTGCTGCGGCGAATCTGTCCAAATCGGGTGCCAGCTACATGCTGCAGCACTTGCCACGTCTCTACAGCCAATTTGCGGCGCATCAGGCCCAGGCCCAGGACATGGACGCCCGGTCAGAGTCGGCCTCGGTCACGGCCTCCGTGTCCGCTCCCGATCTCTGTGACGAGGACTCGCTGGGACGTGGCTCGAACGACACCACCGCCGGCCTGGACTCTGGCAATATGCAGGGCAACTGTGACATCGACGTGGAGATCATCGACTCGATCAAGTACCGTACGGACGGAGAGAGCAGTAAATGTTCCAGCAACGATGAGGCCTCCATCACACAGATCGATTAAAAGGGGTATTGCTTTAAGCCAAATGTCGTACAGCTGTTGTGAATGAATAAAGATATTTAATACGAGTAGAAATGATTATGTTTTGCGTTAAATTGTGTGTCGGAATGACGATTGAGAGCAGCCTCCTCTCCGTTTCAACTGAACGGCAAAATGCCAGTCACGTGTGCACGTAAACGCCACTTAAACGATCTCTAAAGAGAGCCTTTGCATTGGAGATTCTTCGGATTCTTTGCCCTAGAGCAACTCCTACTCGCTGCCTGCCTCATGCTACAGTTAACTTCTCTTTCATCCATCTTTCAGTATCTTTTTCTCTCTCTCTCTGCCCTGAAGAGTATGCAACGGTAAAAGTAATTTCATAAATCATTTGACGCCGTTGTCGACGTTGCTGCCAGCCTCAAGGCATTTTTTAAATGTCGTCGCGCGAATTGCTGCTCCATCTCCAACTCTCCACTCACTCGCTCCTCCATCTTTCACCATCGTCATTTGCCTTCCATACCATACCATCCTGGCAAACTTCCTGGCCCATCCTGCTGCCGCAGCGCAGCGCATTACACGGCTGACTACGCTTTGTGTAAATTAAAACTGCTGCCGGCGGCGGCTGGATGACGACGACAACGAGAAGGCTCCACGCCCACCATATCCTCAGTACACTACCTAACTACCCTGTGCTGCTCCACAATTCTTTTGTATACCCTAGACAAATCGAGATGGTACACGAGTATTCGTTCAGTTCTACAAGAAAAAGCAAAATAATAATGATTCTAGCATTTTTTTTTGCCTCAAACTTTTGCATGTGGAACTGAAAGAATTTAAAAGTTGCATTTATGAATGGAGTGTGAGTTTTAGGATAGCAGAAATATATATATTTTTTTTAATTTTTATTCGGTTAACATTTCTTATAAGCCACCTATCATTGAAGTTTATCTTCTTGATTAACAAATCCGTACAAATGACAAATAAAAAACTTAGTGTATTTCCCTTCTAATACTCCTACCAAATATGTATGGGGCATGGAATTTTATAAAGTACTGCACGAATCTGAAAGCTGGTGGATTATTCTTAAGAGCGTAAAATCTGCATATTTATCCAATCTATTCATCTGTTCCAAGTTATTACGATCGAATAAATGAGTCTTCTATTCTCTTATATTTTCTTCGCTTTCTCCAGTCGCATTGGCACATATTTATCTTTGAATATTTGAATTAAATAATTTGGCATATTTTTAGAGTTTTAGTTATCTGATTATCGGGTATCTTCTAGTCGGCATACACTCCCTTGAGGCCTTCTTATATAATTTTGCTGCTCTTCCTTGCACTGATTTTGCATTCCGGTTTTTTTTTTCATTATTTTTTTGCTCACACAGGATATTAATTTTTACACCATTCATTGATTTTGTTTGCTCCCCGGCGCTTAATGAATGCATGCAAGTGGCGCTCTCCAAATGTTGGGACGGGTGGGCAGTGGGCAGGGAGATCCTATGGTGGAGGCGTGTGCCGACTTGTGCGTTTGCCGGGCTTGTTTCCGTTTCCGTCGTTGTCATTTGTGTCGTGTCGCTGCTGCTGCTGCTGCTGGTGTTTCGCGTATGTGTTCCGTTTATTTCTTGTTTTCCATTTTTTACTCTCTTTGTTTTTTTTTGTTTTTTGTTGTATGCTCGTATTGTTATCAAACGTATGGATTTCCCATGAGTTTGCAAATTTTTGCACACACCCGATCAATGCACTGAGGCAGAAAAACTGCAATGGAAGCCAATCACAGGGACAGAAAACAAAGCAAAATAAAGCAAAGCCAGGCGAGAAGCAAACAAAAGTACAGTCTCTACTGTACAAAATTTGTCGATACAAATTTGCATGAAACAGCGATGTGGGGTGTGGGTGAGGAGTGGGGAGCAGAAGAAAACGGAGAAGAATCATCAGCATCATCATTGTGTAATCAAAATAAGTAGAAAATGGGAAAAGAGCGAAGCAGCAAAGAAGCGAAGTAGCGAAGTAGCGAAATTGAAATCCAACCTAATTGCAGGAAATTTATAACTCAACTTAACAGCTGACAGATTTTTCCCTTTTTTGCTTCAGGGCAGGGGCAGGAGGGAGATTCATTCTGGTGGGACTGTGTGAGTCTGCCCGTGTTGGTTTGGGGGGAGAGGGGTGGACTGTCATGAATACTTGCGCACTTTTGTTATCCACTCGAATTCATAAATCTTTGCAGACGCTCATAATTCATGCAACAGTCGACAATTGGCAGCGGTTCCCCGTCAAGACGATATCCTTGCCTGTCCCTGTCCCTGGGTGGGTGTTGGTTTGGGTGCCGCGATGGCATTACAATGGCAATAAGCTCTACTCGGGGCAAAAACAAATTTTACCAATGACAAGAGACGGCCAGTAAAAAGGGAAAAGAAAACCGACAGCACAAGAAAACCCCTGCTGCCGGAGTCTGGGGGTTGGGCTGGGCTGGGTTGAGTTGAGTGCTGGACAAACAATGAGTGCAGCTTATCCACAGGAGGGGTTGGTTGTCTTCCACCGGCAAAGTACTTGGGCGTGTTGACAGCTTAAAGCTTTTTTCTTAATTGATAGATTTGTTTGCTTTAGAAGATAGCACCCCAGAAAAGAGGCCAAGGAAAAGAGTGATGAGTATTATCCGGGTAAGAAGTAAAAATTATATTATTATATTTCCAAAATAAACCATACTACATACTTTTTTTTTTTGTGTATCAAATAATATATCCAAACAAATACTAATCCATAACCCATAGTTATTCATGAAATTAGTTTAAAGCTGTTGCTTGCTCATCTTTTAAGGCACAATGTATTTTGAAATATCTTAAAGATATTTTGAACATGCAGTGCCGCACAATTGGATAGATTATACATCTGTACATACATACGTATGCACATACATTTGTACAATGATGAGCTAGCAAAGTCAATTTCGTTTGCTATACATCTAAATTATAAATAGTTACCGCTGTTCTTAACGCTGGGCATCGTGAAGCAATTGAACAACTTTGAAAAAGCTAAATATATAAAATATATGGAAAAAGGATTTTATAAAAATATTGGATATATGAATTCTGGACCAAATCAGTGCGTAATTGATAAAAACAAAAAAAACCATACGTCGCCAAAAGAAATTATCCAAAACCACTTAGAGAGGTTTTACATCTTTTGGGTAATTGAACGTATTCTAAGAGCTAATAAAAACTGTGTCCTGAATATTCTTTCAGATTTTTAAAGACTTTTGCCACATTAGAAATTAGTATGCTGAAATAACAGGATACTAGCTGGTGGTAATAATCTATTGTCTCATTAGAGTTAAATTGTGTTCCGCCCATATTTTATTTATTTGGATGATTTAATTTTTAACAAAAAATTAAACCACCTGGCGCCATCTGTTGGGCTAAGAAATTTTGCAGAATGACCGTTACACTGCACAGTGGCGCCATTTGTTACGGCCAGTGCTGCCACTTCCTAAGCGTTGCCATCTCATCAGCACGCTATCGGCGCGCTTATTTAAATTTGACCAACCAAAATGTGATATAAGTGGAGTTTGTGGCTCAAACAAATTAGCAACTAATCGTCGAAAATGAAGCCCAGTCTTGCATTAGTCTTGTCTTAAGTGCTCCAAAAAGCCATATGGATTGGCCTCGGGATGATTATCATGTGCTCGCCCTCTCGATTGTGATACCCCCCTATTTACATTCGCATTTTTCTGGCCTCATGTTTTCTTCATCTCATTAAAATTCATAATCAAAAAAAAAAAGAGCGAAGCGGTTTATAAGGTGATAACGACGTATTTGTTAATACATATTTATGAGCAAATTTTCCAGCTCAAATGTATTGTAGATTTTATTGTATTACGCATGAGAAACACGCTAAATGATGCAGCATGTCTTAAAAAACACACAAAAATAAGAACAACGTGAGAGAAAGACTAGTTTTAGGGTGGCATGGAAGCGGTAAACACCCTGGCGATTCAAACGTCCGACTTTGAAGCATATATGTATAAGTAATTGTTAGATATTAACAATTAAGATTTAGATTTAAGCCAGGAAGGAATTTGTTGTTTTTTTCGCCACTGAAGGGTTTTTTCGTTTTTTTTTTTATTATTTGTAGTTAATAGTTATTAAGATTTAGATTTATGCCACTAAATGTTTTTTTTTTTTGGAAAGTTGTCTTGATATAAATATCAAATGAAAAGAAAATAAAAAAGGTGTTTTATTGAGCCATGGTCATGAGTCCATGGTCTGGTATACTCAGCCTAGCCTGGTGTCTAGGCAACATGGACCAGTCTATGATCTGGTATACTCAGCCTAGCCCGGTGTCTAGGCCAAGTGGTCCAGGCCATGGTTGGTCTACACAGCCTAGCCAGCGGTCTAGACTACGCTGATGAAATGCCTGCCGACACATCAGCCCCAATGACATGCAATGAGAAAATGGTATAGGATTTTACATGGAGTCGGGCTTGTCTTTGGGACAGTGATGGACCGGCTGGGCTAGTCAGATAGCTAGGCAAGGGCTAGTCCGCAGAACTGCTGAAGCAGCTGCTTCCTTTCCCCCACCCCAGCCACCACCACATGTGTGTGTGTGTGAAGCGCCTGTTGTGTTTGTAGTTTTGTTCCGACAAAACTGGACAAAACTTTTGCAAAACGAACAGAACGACGACGAACAACGGACAGAGGTAACAAACACTCATCTGTCCCCATCGCCCCCGCTGACTGCTCTCCCGTCCGTCCAGTGTTGGACAACTCCAGCTGGTTCCAGACAGCAGGGACACCAACCGATTGAAATAGGAGAAAAAGTGATGGGCACTGAGTAATTACAGATATAAGCAGACGCAGTGGGGATATCCTGGACAATGGGCAGCACTCAAGATGTCTCTCATGGCTGCAGTTAGTAGCCGAAATCTAAATGCCAGAGATTGCGAAAAATCTTTCGAAGGCAAATCCGTCGTTTTATGGCATTGAAGCCTGTTCTTTGGCTACCATGGGACTGGGAATAGTAGTAGGAAATGCTGTAACTTTGTCTGTGAGAGACTAGAGAGCTCAGTCATCATGCTATATGGAACTAGTTCCGAACTAGTTCGCCTGGAATTGCTCAACACTGGCGCGAGTCGAGCACATAAGAGTGGCGACACTGGTGGCGGATGTTGTTTGTCGCGCTTTAAGCAATTCGCCTGCTGTCCCCTGTCCTTTGTGCCCTGTCCTCCGCTCACTCGAGTGTAGAGCTGGAAAAACATCGATGTTTGCCACCATCGATGTTTTCGATGTTTTAGGGCGAAGACATCGATTATAATCGATTATCGACATAAAAAATACAAAAATTTGTTTGCGGCTTAAATTTTTAATTGAGATCTGATAGGAAGCTGTTTTTGTTGATTTTAGGTTTTAGCGAGGTCCTTTTTGGGTCGCTTGGGACTAGATATGATGTCTTCTTCGTTATTTCCAACGTCGTCCAATGCAGTTGCCGTTACTGTTTTAAAGAAATTAGTTTAAAATAGTTAATTTGATAGTAGAAGTGAAATAGTAGTGAAATAGTAGTGCCGCACCTCACAACTTTCAAATCTCTTTTTGAGATATTTCTAGTCCTTCAAATTGAACAAGTGATACCTTTACGGAAAGCCTGGAATGTAAGCATTAGAAACTTGAAGAAACCCCATTACATTTGCATTCCATCTTCTTGTTTTTCATGACTTTAGAAAACTACCCATGATATCTGTTGTTCAATGAAATAGTAGTGCTGGGTTAAATTTATTTTTAAAAATGAAAAAACAAAGCAAATTAATTTAAATAAGTCACCATCCGCAAGCTCAATTCAGATATCGAATAATTTGATGAAAGAAAGTTTTGGACATTGGGGTACTTTTGATTTTGAAGCGTTGGAGAAATCATTGCTCGGTCAAGAAGAGGAGACCTAAGAGTTAAACTAAAAACTTAAGGCAGGAGGTATAATGGGATTGAAAACTAAGTTGTATGCACTCTCACTATTGTGTTTAATTAATTAACTATAAGAAGTAGAGTGAAAATCGATTTTGTATTCGAAAAACATATTTTTAGAGGATGGTCGGCGATGATCGAAGGCAAGACCATGCCTTCAATATACTCAAAAATTATGAAAAAAATTTTTAATCGCTCTGTCAGTGATGTGTCAGTTCGTAGACGGTTGATTACACATTATTTGAATGCAAGAAGTCCCAGAAAGCTCCGCGTTTGGGTCTGAGAGTACATGGGTGCACGACTTCAGTTTGGAAAAACGCATGTGGAATGGCCTGTGTCACAGTGACAAAAATACTTTTGACTAATGATAGTAAAGTTGTATTATATGGTAAGATAGGCTCAAAAGAATATGTTTGGCATTCACAGAAATCCGATTACCACCCAAAATCATGAAAAAAATATCATTGGGCATGCTAGGCTGAGCCTTATGGGGCCCAGCTCATATGAGCTAGTACTTTCTGGCCTGGCGTTTGAGTATAGTATGGTTTTGAGCGAAACTGGGGATGTAGGCATACTCTAGAATACATTACATTCATATTACAGTTGAAAAATTCCTGCTAAAAGGATATTTAAACCGGATAATGACTTGAAACACCCATAAAAGCTCGCTAGGAATTAATTGTTATCGGAAAAGATCGACGTTTTGCCATGGCCAACTGTCCAACTGGATATTAATCTCATCGAAATCTTATGGGGAAATACCAAATACATTATTGCAACTGCAAATCCGTGAACCAGAGCCAAGTTTTAGCAAGTGGTTCATGGATTATTGGCTCAAATCCTATTGAAGCGTTGGCAAGAGATTAATAACCCATGTTCGGCCGGTGCAAGTTCGAAATGAAAACCAAATTGATTAAAAACTAAATATTAAAGCTCAGGAAACATGAAAAACATGAAATATATGTTTTTATTTGAGATTCGTTGTTTTTTTCAATGTTCTAAAAAAACACTACTATTTCATTGAACAGCATATTTCATGGGTATTCGGCTTATGTCATGTAAAAAAAGAAGATGGAACTCAAATGTATTGATATTTCTGCGGTTTTCTAATGGTAACAGTCCAGTCTAATTAAAAAGGTATCATTTGTTCAATTTGGATAACTGGAAGTGTCTCAAAAAGAGTTTTGAAAGTGATGAGGTGCGGCACTACTATTTCATTGAACACAACTGTATGTATGTATGTAAAAAAGTATGCGAAAAAGTGAGAATACATACATATATGTATATGCATGTATACAAATTTATTCGCATACATATTACATATGTGTGCACATTGTAAAAAATTAACTGTATTTCATTATACCTACTTTTTACAAACTTGTCCATGGCGCTACTACGATCCACGCCAACACCACAAAAAATGTTATCTATTAAAGTAAGTAGAATAGATTAATTTTTGTAAGCAAATTCGCATAAAATATTCCCTTACCTTATAACGAGTTCTGTCTTTCGGTTGTAAGTGACGATAATCGATGTTTGCAGAAAAAACATCGATGCTGAACATTTTTGAGTAACATCGATACTATCGATGTTACATCGATGTTTTTTCCAGCTCTACTCGAGTGTCTATGTATGTGTGTGTGTGGTGTGCGTATGTTCTGTGGGCATGGCCAGGACACACCTACGCCCCTACGCCCACACACAGCAGGCAGCTCGCATGTTCCCTTTGACGCGCGTTGCACGTTTTTAAGCCCCGCTTGAAATTGTAAAAGTTTTGTGATTTTTTCGCCACCCTTTGGGCGCGCCTTGTCAGCATTGTTTGGCTAATACTGCCGCCCGCTCCTGATGCTGCTTCTGCATACTGGCTGCTGCTGCTCCTGCTGCTGGTTGGTGCCGTGTCTAATTTCTGTTTTAAATACATAGTTGATATCGTTGGCAAAAATTTCAAATTGTGCTTTTGGCTATGCATAAATGCAATTTGCAAGTTGAATCGAGTGTGGAAGTGTCCTTTTGGGTCTCACGCGAGAGCCATATGTGGCGCCAGCCGGCACCGAGTCATCGATTGCCAGTTAGCATTTATGGCACTTTGGGGGATTGCCTCTGCTTGGGGCGACCCTGCTGGACGGATGGCCATCAAGTATCCAAAATCCCATCGATGGCACTTGCTTCCGGGCATCGTTTGGTCGGAATTGTTTTAAATGTCTGGCGGCTGGAGAACTCCCATTTCATTCGATCCAAGGAACCCCTGACGCCTAGAGCCTAGCACTAGACTTATTTACATGAACATGAACAAGATGGAACCGAACGTCGGGGAGCAGCCCTTCCAGACTGTGCTCCCAGCGGCACTCTCTGACAAGCGAGGCTCGCAGGTGACTGAAGTGCGGGTCGAGGAGGTGTTGAAGTCGAAGGAAAAGGATGTTGAGGCACTGCTGGCTTCCATCGACGAGAGGGACAATCAACTGATGAACACGGCGACCAACAAGATCAAGACGACCACAAAGGCAATGAAGAACACAAAATCCGCGAAGAGTAATTCTTCCAAACAGTCTCAGGGCAGGGTGGAGCTGAACCACAGCCAGAAGCAGTTCCTCATGGCACAGGTGACGCGTCAGATGCGTCTATCGCGTCACAAGCTAGCGATTATCGATATGGGACTGGTGCTGCTGACCAGCGCTCTGGTCTTCTGTGCCTGCCTGTGGGAAAAGCCTGCGCTGCTGCTTTCCAGCTGCCTGCTGCTGTGGCCACTCTTTTGGTCCATTGTCCTCGCCACCTGCGGCCACGTGATGGGCATGAAGCTGGTTGGATTCGTCCTCTCGCTGGCTGCTGCCGTCGCCACAGCAGAATTTTGTCCCTATTTGCCAATGGACTTGAACCACTACACCATGGTCAGCTCCTACGAAGCCATCTTCAAGATATCTTGCACAATCATATATGCCCTCTCAGGCATCGCTGTGGCCAGTGCCGCCATGCGAAGCACTTCGGGTGAGGCCGTGTGGCGCGCAATTCTTTGGGGCTTCCTGCTCCCGATAGTTCCATTCGCCAACCTGTTATGGATCCCGGCCACCGGAAACTGGCGCTGGAACGAGTACTGCACCGATCGGACAGCCAGCATAATGCTGGCTGCGCTGGACGTGATCTTCGTGCTGCTGACCATCGTGGTCATCCGGAGCGAGATCAGCTCCAATGACGGTACAGTTTCTTTTCTAACCAAGGATGAGCTAAAAATAGTTCGATTTGAAACATTCAAGTACTACCGAGAGCACTACGCTGCCAAACAAGGAGATGGAGACAAACAAAAACCCAAGCAGCGTTTTACAGCCACTTGTAAGCAGAAGGCAGGAGGAGCACAAGGCCCATAAGGCTTAGCTCCTCAATCGTTCCCCCAGATATTTTGTTTTACATTTGTTAGCTAAAATGTAAAATAAAGGAACCCTTTAGCTGTCAAAGCCATTTTAAATAACGAGCTGCTGAAGGAGTACAATTAACGATCAACTTCTAGGCTTAAACATACTCGTACTATTAGCCAAATTGATGCAACATTACTAGTATAGTAGCCCTAGCACAAAAAAAAAATTTACATTTTACATTTTTTTGCTACATCTGTTATCTACATCTACAATGTATATTCTACATCTAACTTGTAGATTCTACATGTACCATTTAGATTCTACATCTCCTTCGCTAGGGGTTGTAGCGGTATGATATCACATGACTCTGGAAACCGAATTTGGTTTCTCTAGCTCTTATCCTCTCTGAGATCCAGGCGCTCATCGAGACGGACAGACGGACATAGCTATATCGACTCGGCTATTGATGCTGATCAAGAATATATATATGTACTTTAGAAATCTGGATTTTCCCAAGTAGACGCATTTTCTTGGATTTTGTATATGCTTAGCTTATGTAGACTTTTATTGCTTGACGAAAATCTGATCGATATCATCATACACCTGGACATCAGAATGGATTGATGGCGATCATCAGCTATGGGTGTCCTGCTAATTTAGTGGTAAGGGAACCGCGCCTCGGCTGAGTTCCTAATCTTATGGGACATTTTTTAAAAGCCAATTAAACAATTGTTTTATTTATTTATAATTGCAATTAAATAAATAAATAATGTTTACACATTTATACTGTATATATACACGTATATATACAATCATACAGCAGCGCAGCACACACAAGAGAGCAAGCGCTTCAAGCAAGCGCTTCAAGAGCAAGCGCTTACAAGCGGTTTTTTTCGTTAACTGCGCATTTCGTCCAAAAATTACAACAATAAGAACAGCAGCGAAACATTCAATGGAAGGGGTTAGAGAAGGAGAAGCAGAATGGGAAGGTGAGACAAAAGCCGTAGCAGAGGCAGACGAAGACGACGCAAAATCAAAAGACAGTGTAAACGAGATCATTTTGCGACGCTGACGCCACTATAGAATTGTTGAGTGGGGAGGGAGGTTGGCAAGTAGTGAGAGCGCAAGCAAACGTAGCTGAAAGCAAGAGCGGGAGAGACGCAACGTAAAGGTGTATTTAAATAAGGTGAGGCCGCATTCCGGTATGCGTGCTTTCGCGCTTATCAAATTTTATTAATTTATTTGCTCTGTGGGTCGGCACGCGAAATATGCGACTTTTTTGAGAGCGCTCAGGCTGAGCGACCTCACCTAACACAACATTCACTTTGTTTGACATTTATCAACAGTAAAAACAATCAAACAACACACAAAATAAGAAACGAAATGGAGCGTAAAGGAACAAGAGAAGAGAGTGAGAAAGAGAGAGAAGAGAAAAAGTCGGAGCGCGTGCATGAAATCGAAAACTTTTTAAATCTATGCACTTTTCCGCCTATTTTTACACCCTCTCGCACAAACATAGAGACATACAGAGAGAGGAAGGCAAAGTAAACCGACCCTACCCCGCCACCTCTGCCTGCCAATCGACGACCAATGCAAACAAAATTAAACATGGCCAAACCGCTAAATGCGTCGTCACCCCAATCCCCGTTGCCCACCGACCAATGATCCACCTTCCCCCCCACCACCCCACTGCCTACTTCGCAAGCATCTGCGACGACGACCTCACCTAGACAATAATGCAAAAGCAGCAGCAGACAGCGTTGCTGACGTCGCCATGCAGTCCGCTCCTTACAGTGGGATGGAATCGAAATAAATAAAATTTGAAAATTAAAGTCATTCATAGTTCCACCACAGTTAGAGCACCTATTGCCACTGCCACTGTGCAGTATCGACGCCATTTCGTGCTCTCAGCGTCAACAACTTTTTGGGGCAGCCAGTCTCTACCTCTCACTCCCAACCAACCCACCACTCTCCTCTCACGTTCTATACGGCTAGCTGCTAAAAATGTTTTTTTTAATGTTTTTAGAATTGTTCTTCGTATTTGTATGTATTCTCCTCTGAGCACTATGTATGCTGACTCTCGTTGCGAGATTTGTGCGTGTGTTCAATGAAATTTAATACAGCAGACGCGATAGAGCAGTGTCGATTCTTAAACTGGGCAAATTATTTGTTCTATATTTTGAAAATGCAATAAAACAGTAATCAATAAAGAACAATACATAACGAAAGGAATAACGGACCACATCTGAAAGATGTACTGTATTAAAATGTTCTCTCCATGTGGATAAGAGCCCCCATTTAGATATCATTAATTGCTGCATCTAATCTGTGACATCCCCAATACGATCTCTGGACTATAAAAGTCCATTAATTGTCACGATGCATTTGCATGCTATGTATATCTGTTTTTCCCTCCACAGCGCCATCATGGGATGGATATATGGATGGTTAGATATGTATGTACATATGTAGTATGTTGTGTTGCAGATAGGTGTAGTGCGGCGGCAGTGGCAGGGTTGCAGAGGCACGTCACTGGGGGGATGGGTTGGTGGCGAGTACATGGCAACAAATATATTTTTTTTTCGTCGACTTTGTTTGCTTTATTGCTCCACTTTTTTTTTTTTCTTGTGTGACTGTTTAGTGCCTTAGCTTGGCCGCTGCTGTCGCTGTTATTTGATTTTCACATTTTTCTTTATTTTGGTATCACATGATTATACAAACATACATAGTCGTAGCCGCAAACACACACACACGCATAGAGGGTAGGCACTTATGTTTGTATTGAAGAAAATGTCTTTTCGAAACAGTTTTGTTTTGCCTTTTCTTTCATTCTTTTTTTCGTTACGTTTTCGTTTTGAGTGAATGATCTGTTGATCTCCACATTTGTCCCTGTCGTTACTCGACTACTCTGCAAAGCAACATAATGACGTCAAAGTTTACCTTCATTCTTTTGTTATCTGCAAACATTGGGAATTTTGGATGCGATCTAGGAGGTGATGGACTGATTGATATTCTCTAATCGATGGTGATTAATTTAACAATTTCTTATTAATTGGAGTACTTTTTCGGTTCTTTCTACTTTCCCTGCTCCAGACAGTTAAATTCAGTGGGAGATGGGGGTATACAATATTTTACTAGAGTTCCAAGACGATCGTAGTTCTGATACAACATTTATGTAAGTTTCCCCATCTATATAATATATGTACATATATATATCATATCAATATATCATATCGATCGCATCGGAAAACAATATTCATTTAGTTGACATATCCCACCCAGATGTCCCATCATACTCTCTACAAGGGTATGGATACCGAAATATCGTTTCTCAACACATATGTACATAAGTACAAGCGAAGTGTACAACGTACAAGTATTTGCTTTTATGCTTTCATCACGTGTTGTTGTTGCCGGGGAGGGGTGCAGAGGAATGGCATGCGACAGCGTGACAGTTCTAGGCTAACATTTTCGCAGATTTCAGGCCCACTGTGCGCCCCCCAGAACGCTTGTCTCTGAGCATCTAGATTTTAGATGCTCTCTGTGTAAGCTTTTACCGCGTTGCTTCTCTGTCTCTCTCAGCTGGCTCTCTTTTTTTCTGGTTGATTCGCTCTCTCTTTACCGGCTCTCTGCTCACTGTCCAAACTGTTATGCTTTTCTGCACCTGTTTAACTGTTTTTGTTTTCGTTGAGCGAGCGGGTCGGCAGACCCCATCGACCAGCCCCCACTCCAGAGTTGCCATGGTTCTGACTGGTTTTTCGAAATACCCTTACATTGTCATATCCATTTCCAATACACCAATCTCGGAGCAATTTCACTTGCCGCCACCGCCAGTCTCATTGGCAACGCAATTGGTAATTGGACTTGGAGCGGGTTGTATAACTAAGTATGGCCAGACCAGACCCGAGACCAGACCGACCGACCGCATGGCAGCCGAAACGTACGAACCGGTGCGGTGCCCAGAGTTGCCAACACAGTAGCGTGCGTCGTCAAAGTTGTGTGTAAACAATTTCGGGGCCGCTCTCTTTGCTTTTATCGCCGGCTATGGAGAGAATGGAGCTATGGTCGTCGCCGCTATTCCAGGGTGTATTAATATGAGGTGAACTATGTATCTTCGCTTATTACATTCTTTTGAGCGCACTGTTCTTCTCGTTGCCGTAGAGTTTTGTAGGATCGTACACGAGGAAATAATTAATTAATTATTCGTACAAAAAGTTAATAGAATTTGTCATTTACATGATTAAAGAATTTGGACGTGGAAAAAGAATTCAAAGGAGCGCTTTCCAGGAATGGCTAACCTTGTCTTAATACACTATCGTCTATACACCATTCCATGTTTGGCTCTCTCCCGCACTCACACTCTCTCACTTGCTGTTACACTCACACATTACAGTGTTGGTCGCTCTATCCCTATCCCCCTCTCACAACCGCATGCCGTTTGTTTATGCGCCGCTTGTCCCACATAATTTTTGTTTGTTAGTTTTTCTGCTCTTCTTCTTCCACATCTTCTTTGTGCTACTGCGTCGGCGCCGCGTCTCTGCCGGTAGACAACGATTTCGTTCTATTTTCCATTGCACACGTTTTCCGAACCCGCTTCTCACTCACTCTCTCTCTGTCTCCTACGGCCTGTATTTTTGGCAGCCACGTTGTTGGAGAGAAAAATCTCTGTGGCTAAAACCTGCCGGAAAAACCGGGCAAACAATTGCCATTGGAACAACGAGCCGAGCCGCGCATTTATTTATTTTTTTTGCCGACAATGACGCTGCAGCGCGGCCCGTTTATCGACTCAATTACGTGAGCATTTGGCGCACTCACTCTCTCGGTCTCCTCTCTACCGATCTCACGGGATTTTATGCATGTGTGTGTGTGTGAGTGGACGAATTTTGTATAAATGGGTGACAAACGATAAGAACTACTTACATACATACATTTGTAGCCTTACGTTTTTCATACTCTTGCGCAGAGGGGTATCTTTCAATCGCAGAAATGTTCACATTAATACATTATTCCTCATCATTCCAGGCTCAGTCACTTAAAAATCCGATTTCGATATTTTATAACAACCATAAAAACATTAGGCAAAAGGGTATCAACAAATTCTTCCACTGCAACCTGCATCCTCTCTTTTTATTTATATACAAATGTATTTGATTGTCGTTGTTTTTTATCGTTTGACTTTCTTTTTGTGCTTTTGCTTTGGTATTGCTGTTGGTTTTAATGGCCAGCCATCTATTTTGGCCACATATCTCGTCTCTGCGTTTGCGCCGTAGCCTTATTTCATTTTGTTCCGATTTTTTGTTGCCACTAGATAGACTCTCTCTCGCTATCACTCGTTCGCTCCGTCTCTCGCTTTGTCTCTCTAATTAACACGTTCGCATTACAATTTATTTTCATTAATAGACTGCCACCAAACTAGAACACACACATACGCAAACACACACACAAATATGGAGCATATACGTACGCACGCAACGTAAAAACAATAACGGCAGTTTTTTCTCTCTCTCTCGTTCTCCCCCCTATACCAATGTATCAACTAAATGCCTATACATTGTAGCGACGCTGTGTTTTGTTATTTGCGCGCGGGTGTTGCGGTACGGCGTCGCTGACGACGGTACCCCCACCTCACCGCTTCTACGGCTATCGGCTGCGGTTGTGTTGCTGTGATTGACTTTTTCGCCTTTGCTTGTGACACATGTGTGCACCCACACAGACGCACCGCTCCTGAGCGCAGGGCACAGAACAGCGAAGCACATTTATGTAAATGCGAGGAATGAAAGAATTACCTTTGGCCGTGCACAATGGGCCTCGCCGGCGCCAAGACAGTCGTCGAGGGGAATGTGCAATAGGACAAAACTCTGTTGTCCGATAAGCATGTTGTTGGTTCTGTAAACTCTTTTTGTCCAGAGTGACCGAATAAGGTACGGACATCAAAACGAAATCCAAAAATATGTATGATTTAAAACATTCCAAAATTATATCCATCTAACAATCCTTTTCGAGTCCATTATATGTTACAAGTGTTATGTGCTTCACACATACATTCAAATAAGCCAAAATATTCAGTGTATTCAAATACAAACTGAATAAATGTTCATTATGCAAGACATTTTCAAAGATTTTCATTTTACACCACTGAAATATCATTTAATACCACTGTCCGCTTCGAAAAACGCTGCGTCGAGAGCTAACTGTAAGTATTGCCTTCTTCTTCTTCCAGTTTTGGCAAAACAAAAACCATGTGTTTGCCACGCGCTTACGTTACGCTCTCTCTATTTCTCTCTCTTTGGCCTCGCACTTTGAGAGCAACAGCAACGCAAGCAAGTTGCTCTCTCTGCCGCGCTACAATGTGTTTTTTTCTTGCCCATCCATCTCCAAAAACAAATCAAAAGCCATCATTGCAATAAATGAGTTAATTTAGCTAATGAATATTGGCAGAGCAGAATAACGATTTGGGGGGAATGTGAGTTTCAACCTGGTAACGCCATCGAACGCTGATCAGCACTGACACTGCAGCGTAACGTCAGCAGAAGCGGCAACAACAACAACATCAAAAATATCGCGCTGCGTTTTGACCAAGGTATATTTAATAAAAGGGAAGGCCAACCCATCGTTCAATGTGCATCTATGTTTCGCAACAATATTATCTAAGGTATAGATACCACTAAGAAAAATGTATTTTTCACGGCACACAAAAACGCAATTGTTATCTCATCTTTCTGATAAGCCTGGAAAACAACTGAAACACTGGCGGACTGCCCTACCCTATGTTGGTAAGCCTTGCAATTGCATTGGTTTATGTATCTGCTTCGTGTTGCTGTTGCCCCTGCCACTGCCACTGCCCTGTAGACTGCGCGGCCGTCTCGTCTCGTGTTCATTTTGCATTGTGCCGTTCAGCGCAACGGACGTGTTCAGAGCGCGCTGGCCAAAAAAAGAAAAACAGACCAAAAAATCCAATCCAGACCAACAAACAATTACACAAACGTACACGCAACAAACAAAACGCAGTCAATACGAATAACAGTTCAAAGACGCAGTCAACACTTTTTTTTGCATTGATGTCCGTACCCAGTCGTCCCTCTGTCAAACAACTATAACAACTTGAGTAGGTATATACATACATATATGCATCTCTTTCTTGTTTTTAGTATTACGATTTTTTTACAAGTGCCAAAATATTGTAGCTGTGACATTTGCAACAAAGTTACCAAAAAAAAGTGCTGTAATTTGCCAATAAACAAAAAAAATCAAAAGAAAGAAACCGCAAAATTAGCGAAAAGTTTGCAAGTGCCGCCTGCTGATTGGTGATGGAGCGGGAGTAAGCGCGAGGCCCCAAAAGCTAAGAGAGAAAACAAACTGAAGGCAGCCAGCCCCAAAAGCAAAGAGAGGCAACGAGCCGCAAACGCAAAAAGTATAGTACGAGGTAGAAAGAGCAAGTGCGGAAGAGTGTGAGTACAAGGAGACGGACAGTGCAAGAGTGAAAGAGAGTGGGCAAGTGCGTGCGCGGAGGCAAAAACAAAATGTGAGTGCAAAATAAATAGCAAGAAAGTAAGCAAAAACAACACAAAAAAACAAACAAAAAATTAAGAAAATAAAAACCAACAAGAAAACAGATCCAACAACAAACACAAATACATACAAAACGCAGCAGCAAAACAAATCGAAAAAGCTTTAGAATAACACACACATGCAGATAAACTTTAAGCCACAAGAGAACAAAAGAGGAGAGAAGGAAGAGAACATGATAGCGACAACAACGTGGTGCTGACTTCACATATGTACTAACTTTAAAGCATCGAAGTGGATTTACCCTTTATATTTCAAGGGTTTCCAAGAAAATTCCCTCAGGGTTTTCTTTAAAAAATTGTCGATATAGTCAGATGAAAAATAAATTTCCAACATTTTGTTGAATTTATTTTAGAGAACAAATAGGGTTCTTACAAAAAAAAACTTGTTCTCTATTCCTTTAACTGCGCATACGTTTATTCCGAAGCAAAAATATACATATGTGTATCGTATGTATACTTCAGAGGTAGCAAATGCTTCCTTCTCACAAAATAATCATATCGCCTATACAAAGGATATACTAAATGTTTCAGTCGAAATCGAAAAATTATTTTTAGAGTTGCCTATCTGCCTCTCTGTCTGTGTGTATTTGTGTGTGTCACCAGAGTGCGTATGCTGTTGGTATGTGTGCGGGTCCCCCGCGTCTGCCTTGTGGTTTCGTCTTGCTCCTGTGACGCCCCCCGTACCGCATTTGTCACATTGCCCGCACGAGGTAGAACAATCACCAAAAAAAAAAAACAAACAAAAATGGATAGTAGGATAGGGGGGGGTGCTGAGGACAAGGAATCACCCGCATGCTCTTGCAAATTTCTAATAATTCTATGCCGTACATATTTCTCTGGTAATATTCTCGATAAAGGCGTCGAAAGAGGGAGAGGGCCGGGCCGTGTTATAAACATTTACTTGCGGCGCATAATTTCCAATCAATGTGTTTTTTTTTCTCTGGATTGCGAATACAGTTTCATACACGGTTAATGTGTGTGTGTGTGTTTTGTGTTGTATAGCGAGGAGAGGACTTACAGTGGTGTGCACAAATATAGTCACCATATTAATCAAGAATTTGATTAATTTTTGTGGATAAGTTGACCAATTTTTTGCAGCACATTTTTTCAGCCACACTTACACGTCTTTAACCCCCTTTATCTACATTCGTTTGCTTTTGCGGTCTCTGCGATACTTTGTATATTCCGTATTCTGATGGCCATGCCTGTATGTTGTTTTATTTTTGTGTTCGGCTGATACCCCTGTACACACACACACACATACTCACTCTCTCTCACACGACGAAGAGAGTGTGCGTTGTTGGGCAGCGTTCTGGCGTCGTGAGAGCTTGTGATCGTATCAGTTTTTGTTGTGTACCGTCGCTGCCTCCCCTCTTTCTACCGCTGGGACGCTAATTGTAAGGCTGCTGCCGCTACCTCTGTCGCCACTACCGGTGCTGCGTCCGTCCTCGTCTGATAAAGCGACCTCGCCATTGCGCCTGCCTGGCTTACTACTTCTCTCTCTTTCTCTTTTTTGTTAGTTTTCTTTTCCTCGTTTTATTGCATTGAAAAAAAAAGCTGCAGAGCCAGGCGCGCAGCGCAGATCGAAGCTCACGTGAGACTCTGCTACCGATCTTCTTCCTCCTACCCATTGTATTTGTGCAATTAGCAGCGTTGGTGGCAGAGCGGCAGCGATTATGCAACGCAATTGAATGCTGAAGGAAACACGAAAAAACACACAAAATAATGGAATACTGGAAACTTCAAAAAGCTATGCATGTGTGTTTGTGTTTTTGTGTGTCTGATGGCAATTTCCGACTTAAAAACCAATTGGAAATTGAAATTCCTTGACAGGGCCAGGCCGGTCCTAAGTGGTCTTTGGTGCGCTGTGCGGGGTAGGGTAAGGTGGATTAAAAACTAATTGAATATCGCATAGGAAAATTTTCGACATGTTGTATGCTTGTTGCAGGGGTGGGTGGTAGATGGGTGGAAAAACTATTAAAGAATCACGCAAGACGCACAACGCTGCTTGTTCCGTTAAAAGTTCTGACTTATTCTCGTTCCCACCTCCCCCTTTTGTTTTTGGTTGCCCTATGGCTGTTGTTTCGATACGCTTGAAGAACGGTATGGTATGATGATTGACACATTGAATGCACCTTCTCCAAAATTGTATTGATTAGAGTCGCAATAGGATGGAATTTTGTAGTTCCCGTTAATAGCCATCGATATGAAAGGGTATCTAAAACTTCGATCCCCTGAAGGTGGTCTAAAATTCTCTGTTAACTTTGCACCTCGCGAGCATATTGCGTGTGCGTGTGTCGTGCGTCGTGCGTCTATGTGTGTGTGTGCTTTTTTTGAGAACCCAGGCATCGACATAAGACCTGCTGCGACGGCGACGACAACTGAGGCGCTGTTTGTTGATTACATAAAAAATGAAAATAATTATGTACACTTTTGTCAGGCACAGCACACCACACACACAGAGCGAGAGAGAGAGTCGCACACGTGTGCGTGAAACTATACAAAGATACAGATACAGATACAGATGCGTATACACAAAGCACTATGCCAACACAAGTCATTCGACAACTTTGTGTGTGGTTGAGGCGATAAGATATGGCGTGGCAGCGACAGCAGCGGCAGCAGCAGCACCAGCAGCGAAATAGTGCGCAAAATGCAAACAAAAAACTTAAAAGTAGCAACAGCAACAGGAGACGACGACAGCCGTTGGCCTGCCCCTGCCACTGCCCTGTCCCCGTCGACAACTTTGTGGGTTGTTATACAACAAAAGAAAATGGAGCAGAACTCAGCACAAGAAGAAACAGTAACAGTAGATGAAGCAGCAGAAGATGCACTAACAGCTGATCAAAGATAAGCTAACAGTGGAGATTTACAGTTGCTGTGCAGAGTGAGAGAGAGGCAGGCCTGTTACAGCTGTAACATAGCAACAGGAGGATGGAAGGAGGAAACTAAGCAGAGAAAATTGATAGCAGAATCACAGTAACAGTGTAACAGTACAAACGAGTGAGAATATCCATGGAGAGCAAGGAAAACTATGATAAAAAAAAGAGGCATTTACAGGCGACAACTGTGTCATTGGCGATAAATGTAAATATGTAGAATCTGTAGACACTGAGTCCTGTAACCACTTGGCTTTATTTGGATTAAATCGTAACAGATCCTAGGTGAAACACTTTCCTACACGAATGAACATGACAATAGATCAAGGTTAGAGTGTTACGAACGTCAGCTCTTGAGCAGGAAACTCTGACAACTGCTTCGCTGGAGAAATGTATGGGGAGGTGAAGGGCTTTGCTATTCATCAGTTGTAATTACAATTGTTGTTCTCACAGCTGGGGGGTTTTTCGTTGTGGTTTTTTTTTTGTTGATTTTTTTTTTTTTTTGTTGCTGTTTATCGAAATGATATACGAGATATACATACACAAATAGTACCCTATTTGAAATGCAAACCTTGATCATTTTCCGTTCGAGCTGTGTCATAACTAGTTGCCAACTATTTCTGTTTTCTCTCTTTCTCGTTCTGTTCTCCTCTGTTCTGCTCTTATTTCTATCAATTATCAATTCATCTATTTAACTAAATGTTTAACAAAAATACACGCACACTTGTGTACATGCAGTCAGTCGGGTGCCTTTTGGCTATGGTGCAGCATTGAACATTTGCGTTTGCTTCCAAAATGTGCTAATTAGTGGGAAACGTTTATCGCATTTGTGTATATGTATGCATTTTAAGTTGTTTTTGTATGTGTGTGTGTGTGTGTGTGTGTGTGGTTGTCAATTGGTTCAAGTTGTTGGGTTGATTGAAGGGCAACCCTGGCAAACAAATAAGGCAGGGGGGTAATCAAATGTTTTTTTTCTTTCTTCATTTTCCTTTTTTTGGTTTTGTTTGTTGAGGGTTTTCAATCATCACGCACCAATGGACAAATGAATGTAAAAATTCATTTGTGGTCAATTGAACATACAGATTATCAAAATGATGGTGACATTTTTGTGGGTTGACAATGCACAACATTTGCAGGAAGAGAAGGAAGGAAGTGAGTGAAAAGAAGAGAGTGAGACTTTGGCGGGAAGCAGCGAAGAAGAGGAACACAAATTGTGTGGTCCCCAAGCCAGGGATTGCTTTCATCCTGTGGTCATTGCTTCCCTTTCTGTTACTCCTCTTTCTCTTTTTCTTCTGTACTTCTTCAATTTCCCTGATTCGCCTGACTCTAATACTTTTACATACTCTGCTCTTTGCCTCATTTTATCGTACTCCTCCTTTAACTTTTCGTACTTAAACAATCGTCCAGATTTGTATGCTTTTAATCCACTTTTTCTTCATTACATACTCCTACTTCTGTTTTTACTCCGTAATTTCCCTTAAATCTTTTTCCAGCTATATTACGTATACGCAACGATGATCGGTCTCTCTATCTGTTTCTTATCAGCCCCTGCCTGGGACTTAGAAGCGAGTAAACAACGCTTTGTGTCCACACTTTGTGTGTGTGTGTGTGTGTGTATTTTTTCTTGTTTATTTTTCTCATTTATTATTATTTTTTTTTTTGTACCCTTGTATATGTTTTGCTCTGCCCTTTTGTTTTGTTTAGTTTCGTTTTGCGAGGGAAAATGTGCTTTGTCTATATTTAGTTGTATTTAATTGCGGTTGACCCAATTTGTTGTTCTTGTAGTAGAGACACCATACCTCAAGAGTCGAGTGTATGCCTTGTGTAATTGCTTATAGTACAAAAAACAAAAAATAATAAAACAGAAGAAGAAAAAGAAGACAACATACTCTGTAGAGGGAGAATGCTGGGACGAGAGGCGAGCAGAGAGCGAGACGAGCACACGATGTGTTTATTTTTGTTGAATTCAATTGAAATTGAAATTTTAATGATCAGTTTTAGCATCGAGACGATATCACTTTGAAAGGTACGAGAGTCGGTATAGGGTACAGCGTGTGTGTGGGAGGTGGAAAGCACTGAAGGCAGTGAGGAGAGAGAGAGAGAGTGCGCCTGGCAACAGAGTTTTTTTTTGGGTGGTAGAGCGGAACGCAGTGTGCCAGACAGAGCAGGGCATCGGATAAACTTAAATGCCAAAGCAACAGCATACTAAATGCACATGCAAGCCACATGACATGTGTAAATGCAGAATGAACTACAATTTTTGGTCACATGTTGGTGGTGGTAACTCAGTGATAGAAGCAATGAACCTTATAGTATAAACTGGACTACGATCGTATTCCGAGTGGATGGAGATTGTATACATTCAACGATTATGTTTATTGGGTATTTACCCAGTTTTCTTAAATATTGTACAAACAAGAGTCATGTTATTGGCATGTTATTGGCAGGTATTTTTGTTATTATGTCAAAGACTGAAGCCCGCACAGGAAGTTCTTCCAAATAAGAAAGTCCATAAAATGTTTAAAATTTCTTCTTGGAAGTGTTTTATCAAAGTCTATACAATTACCAAGATATGGCAATAGGAACAAATGACATTTAAATTTTCCTTCGACGTTTCGTTGTATGGTCGCGCGTGGTACTGGTACTTGGCTAGTTTTGCTGTTTATTTAACGATGAATAACCATATAATGGTATAGGATTTTTTCGGATTTAGTTTTCTGTTTTGTTTTTGTTTTATCTCCTACTGTGATGCAGTGGTCCTGCCTCCTGCCTCCTCCAGTCTCATGTCTCATCTTTTGCTTCTTGCTGCTGTCTCCTCCTCCTTACCTACCATACTGATTACTTTTTATCGCATCCAAAAAGCCGGCAAACTTCCTTTTTACGCTCTTTGCCATGCCTTGCCTTTCTTTGCTGCGCTTTTCTCTTGCTTTGAGGCGCGCGTTCTCTTTTTGGTGGCTCTCTCTCTATCTCTCTTTGTGCGTGCGACAGCGTGGATGAGCATGGGTGATGAGGTCGTGCCAGGGGCTAGTGGGGGTTGTATAAATTTATTTTTATTTTCAACAAATACGAGCGACAATGCCGTCGTTGTTCAATTTTCCGCTGCTTTGCTAAAATTAAATATGGTTAAACGGCAACGACTGCATTCCCTCTCTCCTCTCTCTTGCGTGTGTGTGTTTGTGTGTATTTCGGCTTCTTGTATTTCCTGCCTGCGACCCCCTCACTACGGCTCCTCTCACCCACAATGGGGGACGGCGTGAGTGTGTGGCTGTCGCACGTGTCGATTTCGACGACGGTGTCGCTTGCTTGTTATTATACCCTTGAAGAGGCTATGATGATTATATATTTAGTATGTATTTGCAAGGCAAATAGGTACATATGTACATATGTATATTTTTAATCGGAACCAATTAATTTCTCAATTACACAAATAGTTTTTTCTTATAGTCAAACAAAGTTTAAAAAAAAATGCGTCTGCAAAGAGTATTAAAAGTTTCGGCTATCCGTTAAACTTTGCTTCCCGTAATGTTGCTATTGCTTTTGCCTCATTTTGGTCGACATTTCGATCAAAGCTCCGCCTCCTCCGATGTTGATTTTAAATTAATTTAATTATGCATTAATCAAGCACAGCCCGGTTTAGGTTTTTGTTGCTGTTGTTTTTGATTATGCAAAAAAGGCGACAAATGTTTTGCCTAGCAAGGAGGGTACTTGAAATGCTTGAAATTAAAACGATTTTTTTAATGGCTTATCTCATTTGGTTTAAATGCAATGATAATTGCTGTGCAATTTATTTATTTATAAACATTCCAAATGCTTTTTTTTTTGTGACTCACTGCGTGGCCTAAGAGTGAGAGAGAGCGCAATGAAAGGGGAGAGAGAGAGCTTTTGATGACCGGTTTGAAGCCTAGCCCAAACAGCTGTTTGTTGTGCCTGCCTCTTTGTTGTAGTCCTTGTTTATCTTTTAGTACTGCTTAGAGGACTGAGTTGGGGGGAAACAGAAGGGAGAGAGAGAGAGAGTTGTTTATGTTGTGTTACCCAAAGGGGGAGTGAGAGGTAGAACGAGAGAGAGAGAGAGAAAACTTTTGTTCACTTTTTCAATAAATGGCAATGTCATGCGCGAACGCTTCACACACGCTCTCTCTTTCCCTCATATCTCTCTCTCTCGCTCTCTCTCTCCATCTCGCTCTACAAATCTTGTTTACGATGATTTTGCTTTTGCCGGCTCTCTGTCCCGCTCATTCACACACACACACTGTGAGAGCGCACCGTGGTATGTGCTTGTGTGTGTGTGCTACCGACGCGGTCTCGGAGGAATTTTTGTAAATTGCGGCGAATGCCGCCGCCGCCTCGCTTCATTCGTTTGCCTGCTCGCGTGCCTTACGGTTCGAGATTAACTAAAATAATAAATAACAGCCCAAAAAATCAACACAAAAAATACATTTTATTTACGGTTTTTCTTTTGAGATTTACTGAGGAGTGAATGCCGACAAGCTTTATGATGAAAATCACAACAAAATGCGGTTAAATTGTATACGGAAAATATATATAAATTTTTTATTTTTTTTGACGTGATAGAAGGCGAGAGCTAATGAAAACGTGTACATCCCTCGAAACGACAACACAAACAACAGAAGCAGTTTAAAGCAGCGCGGCGTCACAGCAAGCAGCAAAATCAGTAAAAAAAAAAGCAGCGTGCAGAGAGGATCACAACCATAACAAGCAGTAGAACGCCTTGTATGGGTGTAAAAGCAGCAAGAGAAGGAGGAGCAGAAGCAGGAACAGGAGCAGAGGTATGTGGAAGTAAAACAACGGCAATATCAGCAAACGGAAGAACAGTAAAAATGGTGGAGCAAGAGAGAGCAATAGAGAGAAAAGGTAGAGGTAGAGATGTGTGTCTGTGTGTGCAAGCAGAAAAAAAAAAACAAATAAAGAGAGTGGGAGAGATGGGGGAAACAATAGCATTTACAGAGATAATAATTCTTAATTTTGGGAAATTCTTTTGGGCTCCATTTTGAAGTTTTTTTTTTTACTTTGTCCGAATCGATTTCATAATCAAGCAACTAAATGGCACGCGGCAAGAGTATAAAAATAAAAAACAAAAACTAATAAGCAAAGAAACAACAAACAAAACAAAAACCACGCGTTACAACAACAAAGAAGCAAAGAAAAACCACGTTGAAATTGTGGACAGCGCCGTCAGAGTTAAGCGTTAGCGTCGCAGCTCGTCTCGCTCTCACACACGCTCTCTCACTCTCTCTCTGCTGCTTGCCAGCCAAGCAGTTCCATATTCCCCATCAACTGTGATGTGTGCAAATAAAAGTACAGTGAAAGCTTGCCTGCCAGAACGTTTGCTCTTTGTTTGAATGTCAGAGCAACTGTTGAGCGGACGGACGAGTGTCCACTGTGCATGATGGTGGAATCCTGCTCAAAAGTGATAATAAAATCATAATCGTGAATAATTATTTTTAAAGCCACCACTATACGTTGACTTGTGTGACACACTAAAAGTGCTCCCGCTCTCTTTGCATTCTCCCGCCCATTTGGTCGCTCTCTCTATCTCTCTTTGTCTAGCCATGCTTTTTCCCGCTTTAACATGAACGCGTGAAAAGCAGTTTTGTTTTTCAAAATATATGCAAAGATTGGTCGGTCGGGTTGGGGGGTTGAATGTAGTGTGGTGGGAGAGGAACAGTGGGCAACAATTATAAACGCCAAAAGCGTTTTTCTAGCGGCCTTGTTGCGTTTTTTTTTCTGTATATGTATAAGATTTACTGTATATACACACATGCATATACATATGTATGTGTGTGTATGGTATATATAGTTTTTTTGTTATTTATTTCCAGCTCTTGCTTTATGGTCTTTTTTGTTAGGTACATAGTTTTATTTGTTAAAAATATACACATTTTCCCACTATTTTATTTTCTGATAATTTTAATATTTGTTGTTGGGGAACTTATAGTGATTTTCCACTAAATAAATAAATAAATAAGAAATATACAAATATTAGTATAAACTTTGCTTTTTGTAAGAAATATTTGTATTCTCATTTTTTAGCAGTGTTTTTGTTGCTGTTTTTATCTCCCGCGTTCTTTATAGTTTTTCTTCTTCGTTTTTCGATGAGGCGTATACGTAATGTGCAGGGAAAAATACACAGAGAGAGAGAGAGACAGAGAGAGCGAAAACAGGCAGGCATACGTCAGGGGGCATTACGTATACGCCGCGTGGTCGCGTCGCCATCGTATTTTGTACTAGCTCTCCTCCTCCGCGGCTTTTAAGTTGTTTCTGTTGTTATATCTTAAGAAAATTCTTGAATATTTAAAGATATCACCAAAAAAAAAGGCTTATCGTACAAAAAAACCTGAAATCTATCAAAAAAAAGGAAGAAAAAAGCAAAAGCGGGAAAACTCTGAAAATATAATATCCTTCATCCCCAAAAATGATCATAAAATATATACATATATTTTAAAATTAATTTCAGAAATATTTGTTTATATTTCATCAAAGCCTTGCACAAAGAGAGAGATAGGAAGAAAGAATGGCGTAGAAAGAGAGAGAGCTCGCGGAGTGAGAGCGAGAGAATTGATTGCCGCCATACGTTTTTTGCAGTATATACTCTCAAAAAATGCTCAAGCAGATGTTGTTGTTGTGTTTGCTCTTTCCTTTTGATTTTTGTTTCGTTTTCGTTTAAGCTTTTTTGTTGCTGTGCGTTCTTTTCATTGTTTTTGTTGGCTGTTTTGGCTATTCCAGTTTTTGTTGCCTGTTATCTTGTTGATGGCCGGAAGCATGCGAAAGCTTTTTTGAGCTCTCTTTCGCCCGCTCTCTTTCTCCCTCCCTGTCTCTCACAATCTCTCTTTTGTTGTTACGTGAAATGTTTGGAAAGCTGTGGCAATAGTTTGTGGTTTTTTTTTATTTTTATACGATTGCTTTTATAGAACAAAAAGAAAAATAAAAATAAAAAGGACAACAAATGCCACAAAGAAATTAAATGAAAATATAATTAAATTTCATTTCTGCTTTTTTTATTTTTATTTATTTTTTGCTAAAGGCCACAGCGCAGAAAGCCGGCATCTAATACATTTCCATGCCCCTCTCTTCATCTGTTTCTCTCCTCTCCCCTCTCTCTTTTGCATATTTTGTTTACTTTTTTGTTTTGTTTGATTGTTTTTGATACTTTTTTCATTCTCACGCTTCTTTACATTCGTTGTTATTTATTGTATTTAAAGAGGAAGCCACTCATTTAACATTTTCTCCATATAGATTTTCACATCCATCTCTTTATATCTCTGTTGCGTTCTTCCTCTCTATCTCTCCTTCTCTGGCTCTTCAATTGGGCGACAATTTTCACAACAACAAAAATCATGCTGGTGGCTGTTGGTCGATGGGGAGGGGGGGGATGGGTGCAGAGAAGTTGAAGAGGGCAGGATGTTCAGTCGCACGATGATTACACGCAGTTTTTTTTTTTTTAGTTTGTACAGTGGGTGCCAGGTATTAAGATAGCACAGGGTATGCTATGGGTGGATACTGCTTGACCATCGGAGAGTGTAACTGTTTCATTTTAGTTTTTACTATTTCTGCAAGATACATCTTTCTCTCTCTCTCTCTCATGATTAGTCATTCATTTTTTTGTACTAGATGTGGGGGAGCAAACATTATGGTTAAGTCAGTTTAAGGGTATCAAGGGTGCGCTAATGTGCAAGTAGTTCGTTTAATAAAAAAGTGTCAGCAAGAAATGCTCGATTCCAAGTATTTTATCGGATAAGGATGTCTCGGAAAGGCTGCAAGTGTTATTTCTGGTACAGCGGCATTTCTTGCTCAAAATAAACAGCATTGTATCCTTAAGGTCAAAGTTCACTTTCCTATTGTGGAACGGGGGATACCGAAAGTCGTGTCTGTGTTACATGTTTTTTTTTTGGTGGTTTACTGCTAAAGTGGCTCTACCCCCCTCTACCCCTGTTAGAATGCTCATTATATAGCATATAGCATATAGCATATACTTGATGTACATACATATATCGGTTTTTGTATCTATGTGTGTGTGTGTGTGTGGTATATCTGAATGAATCATCATTCTACATGAACACAATCATCAGCAACGGCCTCATCCAGTGGCTGGCCCCTGGCTGGCGTTTCATTAGCGATTGTTGTTGTTTATGTTCTTTATTTCAGTTTTTTATTAGCAAAGCAAGCAGCACACGCTCAGGTACAGTTACCACCATGTGCTTGTGCTGCTTGCTTGCTGGCTAATTGGGGGAGAGCCACCGGCTAGAGAAGAGTGCCACCAAAATGCAAGCGTAGCCTCATTTCCTCTTCCTTCTTCTTGTTTCCTTTCTCCTCACCACACACTCGCACACTTCCATTCATCCTTGGGCACACTTATCCCCTTGTATTCCATCATTCTATCCACTGAATGCACTGACTGACGTTTGTGGGTGGCGGCTGTCCACCCCGATGACATTTAAAGCAGCTGCCTGCCTGCCTGCCTGCTGATTCTTCCTTCCAATGCTTCCTCTCCTGCGTTCCTTCCAAACTGCTTGCCAACCCCAAAGGTCTGCGGGTCACAGAACATTTGACGTTTCTAGAACGAAAAATGTGACTAGGTGGGGGCGGCGTCTCCTCCTAATCTCCACACATTCAAAACAACAACAACATCGAAGGAGAGAGTGAGACAAAGAAAAGACAAATAATAAACAAAATAAAATGAAAAGCGAAGAGAAGAGAGGAAAAAGAGCGGCTTCTCTCTCTCTCTCTCTCTCGTTGGAAAGCAAACAAAAAAGATAAACAAAACAGAGCATATGCAAAAGACAAAGAGACGTGAAAGAGAGAGAACGCGCTGTGTTTCGGAATTTAAGAGAGCGAAGCGTATCGGTGCGGTGGCGGCTGTGTATCGGAACGTCATTCAAGCGGCTACCACCACCACCATCACAGTATCTGTTTGTTTTTACTTGTGGCTGCCTGTGTGTGTTTAATAAATAGTTGCATTTGTTGTTGTTCTTGTTGTTGTTGTCTCTAAGCGGCCATATTTGCTAATTAATTATGTCAAAGGCAGCCATAGCCGTAGCTATAGCTCTCGCGCCTTCGGGTAAACACACACCTCTCCGATGCCATTCCACCTCACGTTTTCACACCCACCCCCCACACCACACAACCCATACACAGACACTGCTCTTCGCATTGGCCTGTCCCTCACAAAAACCACGTTGTTCCAAAGGTTAAAACATACAAGGTGAGGCCTTTCCAGAGAGTGCTCCCTGGAAAGTCACAAAATGTTCTTCTTTGTGTATCGTTGCCTTAATATGTAAAGGACGGAGGAGGAGCGAGAGAACGTGTCAGAAAATAGGCAACTTGAAGACCAACCTTTCACTCTCTCTCTCTTTTTACCTCTCCCTCACACTTATATCGTGCAAAAATGTTTCAAATTGTTTATATATTTTTTTTTATATTGGTTTTGCCGCTAGTTTTCTTGTTGTTTCTTGTTTTCCAGCAGCAGCAGCAGCAGCAGCAGCAAAACAAAGTTGTCAAGACAACGACGTAAACTTTCGAAAATTGGTAGAGGAAGGCCAGCTTCAGAGGCCGAAGCTTTTGATATACATATATATATGTACTTGCGGATCGATCGCTATATGATATTTATCATATCATTCGATATCGATTGAATTTTAAAATTTTAAGACTGAAAAGGTTGGAAATGTTTATTTGTTTATTTTTCTGCATTGCAAAGTCATAAATACCCCGCTCAGCAAAGGGTATGAAAATACTGCGTCGCAGCGTTGCTCCCAGAGCCTTGTCTATTTATTTGAGATGCCACTGTGACGGGCGAGCGGGAGAGACGGCGTTGCGACGCCGCCAGTTTTGGAGGTCGTCGTAGCCAGTAGTAGTATAGAGGCAGCGGCAGAGGAGGGAGCTTTTTATTTGTTTTTGTGCTCTTCTTATTGTTGTTTCTCTGTTGCTATCGCTTTGTGCGTTTTGTTCTCAGTCGGTCGTTCTCGTTTGTTGTGGCGCGCTTTATTGTTGTTGCTGCTCTTTGCACATGCAAAACAAAAAAGAGGATAGAGAGACTAAGAAGAACAACTAACGGCATGTCAAAGTAAATTTCTTTAATTGTGTGTTTCTTGTTGTTTTTACCTATACCGTTGGAATGTACATATATTTCGGCTATGTTAAAAATCAATAAATAATAATACACTTTGTTGGCTGCCACCCCCCCCATGACACCTACATATAGCAGCCGTGCTATGTGCCGCCGCTTGCCTGCGCCTGACAGCAAAAACAGTTGGCCCAAAAAAGGCAAATGAATATTCAAGTTAATTGCAAACTGCGCTTTAGGGTGGTGAATGAATATTAGATGAATTAAATTGTTGGACGGCTAAGTGAAGTAATTATTGATTTGAAGGCTTGAAGACTGAGTAAAGTAAATGATCACAAAGAATGAAATAATCCTTAAGACTGAGTGGAAGCAACAAGAGAGAATGAACTAATGATGAATGAAGGAATAAATAAATATGAGAAAAAATTAATGAAGTTTCTTCTGTGATGTCTTGAAAAATCGAACGGGATCATCGGGTAAAAACTGTAGCTTGGGTGTATACAGGAATGCATATGTAAGTACATTTATACATATGTACATATGTATTTATGCAAAAGAGAAATAATGAGATGGGGGTTGTGGGTGAATGCTTGAATGAAATAATAACCTTTGGACTCTCTCTGTCATTTATTGCTGTTTCTGTTAGATTTTCATTCTCTTCGATTGCAAACATAGAAAAACAAACTATAACCAAAGCCCAAAACTCAAACACATGAACCAGCCAGACACGAAAGACACGAAACTAAAATGAAAACTGCTGATAAGATAATCCACTAATCACTCACACATGCCAGTAGAGTCAGCAGGCAGCAGTCACAGCACTGGGCAGAGCAGCAGGCAGCAGGAGTGACTGAGTCCGAGAGAGCGGGAGGGCAGGTGGAACCTAGCAGTCAGACAGAGCGCGCTATTTGCTGCCAGCGACTCTAATCGACGCGAGCCGGGCCGGGCCTGTGGGTGACGTCGCCGACGTTGTTGCTGGCGACGCGTCGCGTCATAAAACGGCAAAAAACGCTAACACGCGTAAACAAGCTAAGCAGCAATAAAATGGCAGCAACAAACGAGAGAGTAGCAGCAGCAGCAGAGATAGCCAGACAGAGATAGACAGACTGAGATAGCCAGAGTGGGAGAGCAGCAGAATTGAGCACACAGTCGCGGTCAAAGTAATAGGAATAGTTATGATACTAAGAAGGATATGGTAATTATGCAAACTACAGCAAGTTTTATTTGGGTGGAACAATCGCAAATATCATGTACGACAAATCGAATAATCAAAAAAATATTTATATGCATTTATTTATTTATGTGCATAATAAGATACAAATTAAATACTTAAGATTTGTGTACTATTTGATATTCATGTACATATGTATGTATGTGTAATATTGTGTGTTCATTCAGCAGCAGTTGCACTATTATTATGCCCGTTGCTGTATGAACACATGCGCGTACATTCGTTGTACGTGTGCAACAATGCGCAGCAAAGTAGGCAATCAATGCTGTGTGAAGGACGTTCGTTGCAGCATCGACAAAAAAAACAATGTGTCTAGTCATGCTCACGACATCCAATTAATGACTGGCATGCCCCAAAGTGCAGCAACATTGATAATTTCGCCAATCAATCATTATATCATCAAAATGGCAAAAAAAAACTTGATGAAATGTATCTGAGTAAAATTAGCAAAATGAGCAAAATGATTGCTCAAAAGAATTTCAGATTTAGCGATGAGACAATATCTTACAGATACAGACGAGTGAGCCACTCATGTCATGATCGCTGGCTGAATGGTGATGATGGTGATCTGAGTCAGTCAATAAGATTTACTTTAATTGTTGAAATCAAAATAAAACAAAACAGAGACATCTGATTTTCTTATAAATAGAAGAAGAGTGACTCAACATTTATTTTTTTTATGCTGGTGAATTCTGGGGGAATTAAAATATTCTCTTCGAGTTCTCTAATTTGTTGCGATTATGAATCGTGAAATAAAAACAAATAGTATGTGTCCTTTGGCTTATGGGTAATTTGTTTATCGATTCAATGTAAAAATAAATTCTTACGATTGTCATGCCCTCGCTAACGCCCTCTTCTCTCTCTCTTGCAGCATGTCCACAGATAATCCCACACAGCTGCTGACCACGCGGGATCTTGGCCAATTGCGTGGCCATCTACAGGCGACAACAGCGCCAGCGACGGCACCAAGTGCCGTACATGGATACCGCAGCGTAATCCCCCCACCTATCAGCACCTCAGCAACAGCACCTGCACCAGTAGCAGTAGTAGTATCATCAACAGCAGCAGCAGCACCAGTATCAACATCATCTTCCGTAATATCAGCAACATCATCCACCACGAGTAGCAGCAATAGCAGCAGCATTCATCACGGAGGTGGCAACATGCAGGCCACCAGCTCAAAATATGTCGTCATCCAACCGAACCACAATGGCGGCTTCACGGCCTACGATAGTAGTGCCAGTGCAGTAGCCACCTCGCCCACGGTCGGCGGTGGTGGTGCCGCAACGGGTGGAAATATTGTTCTTTTAGCCGCCGAGCCCCTGGAAATGGGTTCGGCCGATGCATTGGCCGCCGCTGCAGCGGCAGCAGCGGGGGCGGACGATGGAGAGCTGCGCTCCTTGTCGTGGCTGAGCGACAGCAATCTGATCAAGGGTATTGTCACGAGCAGCGGCCCCACAACGGCCGCATCGCAGGCGAAAAGGGCAGCAGCTGTGGCCCTCAAGGCTCCTGCGGCAGTCTGCCTTGTCGGCGATCTAATTGAGGAGCTGCCGGCAAGCAGCAACGATATGGCGGATGCGGGTGAGCAGCAGGGGACGCCGGGTGGCGTCTACAGTACCACGACAGTGCACAAGGGACCCAGCGGCACCACTACAGTGGTGGAGTACAAGGCCACCAAGACGACGACGACGGCCACAAGAACAAGCTACATGCCTGTGGTGGTGACCAGCAGCAACAGCAGCATCATCACACCAGTAGCACAAGCCACCATTTCGCCCGCCAAGCAGCAGCAACAGCAGCAGCAGCAGACCCAACAGATCTATGTGACCAGCAATGGGACGGGTTCCACAACATACAATACCTCCTCCCCCCCATCCATGGCCACGGTCTCTGTTTCGTCCGCCCTGCCCTGTTCGCCGAATAATAACAGCAACCACCACAATACCACCACCCACCATCCCCACAAGAAATATCTGCGGGAGAAGATGAACGTGGACCACAGCAATCATGTGGCCTCCACGGTGACGGTTGTCAGTTCGCCCGCATCCTCCAACAATTCATCGCTTAGCTCCACCTCCGCTTCCGCTTTCGCCTCCGCCTCCTCCATGTCGGCTAATGGATCATCGGGGGGCATCAATGGGGCTGGAAATAGTCCAGGGCCCAAGGCAGCCAGCAGCTATACCACCGTCTACGAAACGGTTAAGTTCTCTGGCGCTGGAACAACGCCCTGCAGCAGCAGCAGCAGCAGCAACAACCACAGCAACAGCAACAGCAACAGACAGCACCTGCCCGATCATACGACGCTGATAACCACAACGGGATTGATCAGTGCCTCGTCCCTGACGGGCAGCTATAGTTTTGTGAATCATTTGGCTGGATCCACGCATGTCATGTGAGTATCTCGTGGAACTCTGCCTCTAGGATGACAGTCAATAAAACTAATCTCTCTCTATCTCTATCTGATTTTTGGCAGGGCTTCGACGGCACCAACTGAGACGACTCTGGGGGGAGGCGGCAGCATCTACTACACCAATGCCACGCCAATGCAACAGCAGCAGCACCTGCAACAGCAACAGCAACAGCAGCAGCAGCAGCAGCGTGGCATGCATGTGTCTGTGTCGCCGCCACCGCCGCCAATCAATGCAACAATGGGGGGTCATAATGGATCTGGATCTGGATTGAATCTGCGAAGCCCCAACAGCTACAGCAGCTACGAGAATGAGGATTCGCTGAAGGAGTTCGATATGACAGTAAACTCCAGGATGCATACGAGCACCCCCCAATATGTGGCAGCGGCAGCAAAGAGCAGCAGCTACAACAACAACAACGCCAACAGTTCCTCCAATACCACCAACGGAGCCGGTGGTGGTGGTGGTGCAGGCAACACACCACAGAAGCAAAAGCATCCGAACAATGTGCCATACGATCCGCTAGTGCATACAAACAACAAGCCGCCATATAGCTTTAGGTGAGACCCAAGCCGATCCTCGGTTTGATTCAATCAAGAAATTGATTTCCAATTATTCCCTGCAGCTCCCTCATCTTTATGGCCATTGAGGGCTCGAACGAGAAGGCGCTGCCTGTAAAAGAGATCTATGCTTGGATTGTCCAGCACTTTCCATACTTCAAGACGGCCCCCAATGGCTGGAAGAACAGTGTGCGGCACAATCTGTCGCTAAACAAGAGTTTCGTTAAAGTGGAGAAGGCCCCCAATATGGGCAAGGGTTCGTTGTGGCGCGTAGAGCCGCAACAGCGTCAAAATCTCATCCAGGCCCTCAATCGGTCGCCATTCTTTCCAAATTCAGCGGTGGACAAGATCAGTACATCGCTGAAGAGTCCCAATGGGCAGGGGGCAGCCCTGTCATCATCCGGCGGATACGATGGCATTGATGGAGTGGCTGCCGCCTCCACCGCTGTCTCCACCAATGGAATGGGAATGGGAATGGGCTGTGGCAACTCTGCGGCTCCAGTGGCACTGGTCACACCCACAAAAAGCAATGGCCTGGTGCTCGCCAACGGTGGTGCTAGTCAATCGGCCGCCATGCCAAACAGTCCATTGGCGAACGCTGGCGGAGGAGGCAATGCCAGTCATGCGCGTGTCGATCCGAAGCTGTTCCCCTATTTGTCCAAGGCCTTCAGCAAAATCCGCGAGGATGGTGGGCCGCCCACGCAGCAGCTGCTCCTCGGCGAAGCCCTCGATGACGAGGTCTCCGGCGAATATGCGGGCAACCAAAACCACAACAGCGTCAGTGGCAGTGGCAGCGGCAGCGGCAGGTACATCTATGTGGGAAACGGAGTTGCTGGTGCTGCTGCTTCTGCTGCCGCCCCAAATGCAAGTGGAGATGGCATTAACTTTGAGCGACTGGCGCGCGATTGCGGGGCTGACAGCATGGACGATGTGCATGCTGCGGCGGCCATGCTCTTCCTAAAACACGGACCAAAGGCCTTCACCGAGTCCTTTCAAAATGGGTAAGCTGTTGTGGCACGCTCTCTTAATCCGGCAAATCTTATTATCCCTACCTCTCTCTGTCTGTCAAAGGGCCCCAGTGATTACGAGTTCGCCTAGCGAGGATCACACGTATTCCGCGGGCGGCAATAGCAATGCGGACAGCGGCGCTTCCACACCTCTTATGAATGGCAATATCCTGGCGGGGCAGACACCAGCCCAGATGCAGCTGCAGGCGCAGGCTAATGCCGGCGCAGGATCGGACAGCAATTGCGCCAGCTCTGATGCGGCCTACGACAGCAGCGAGGAGAAGTGAGTCTCCTAATGCGTGCGCGGGGTTATTGAGTCAACCTAATTCTGCTCCCCTTCTTCTCCACAGTCACAATATTACGCCCGAGGAGTTGGCCGATCAGCAGCGACATCGTGATGGTGTCGACGCATTGCTCTCACTGTCGCGCTCATCCATCGTTGAGTGCGGGTCGGTGGCCACCACGCACTACCACAGCAACGGGAGCAGCGGCAGCAGTCACGGCTCTCCGCACAAGCGCCCCTCCAGCCACAGTTTGGAGGAGGAGCACGAGCACCACCTCCTGCAACAGTACCAGCCACTGTTGTCGTCCACATCACAGACTGTCTACACGAATGGCAGCGGCAGCAAGATGGCACTCCTCAGCAGTGCCGCCGCCAATGTGGCGTTGGCCCAACAGCAGCAACAGCAGCACCACCAAATCCATCAGATGCACCAACAGCAGCATCATCAGATACAGCAGCACCAGCATCAACAGCATACAGATCCGTTCGGCAGCGTGAGTGGCAGCTACTTGGCTGGGTTGAATCATTGCCTGCCCGCTGCAACGGGAGCTGGAGGACAGGCGGCCATGTTACCCAACATTCTCAGTGCTGCGATGGCCAATGCTGCAGTAGCAGCAGCAGCAGCAGCGGCAGCGGCCAAGAATAAAGTGAAGCCTGTGCGGGGATTGCGTACAAAGATCAAGCGCAAGTCCGCATGGATGCGGTGAATGTGGCGCCAGGCCGGAGGCCGCCGGAGGACCATCTCCTAGCCCCTCTATAGACACTCGCATGTCCCCTCCATGGCCACGTCCCCTGTGTTGTTGTCTCTTTCTAATTGCAATTTGTTCAAATAAGAGCATTTAGTCGTAAGATTTAGTCGATTCCCTCGCCTTCTTTTCCTCCTCTTCCTACTCCACCCCCCCCCCCCCCCACCGCCACCGCTCATCTTTTCTTATCCTTTATTTTGAATGTGTGTGTGCTACTCCTTTAATCCTTGTGTTTGTTATACAAATTGATGACTATTTTTTCATAGGTTTTAGTTTAGTTTTTAAACGTCTTTTGGACTTGATTCGGTCCTCGCTTGTTGGCCATTTCTTCAATATTTGACACACACGTTTTTTACGCATCATCTATTGAAAACAACAACCCTCAACCTAAACGATTGTAATTAATTAATAACTTAAATAATTGTTCCCTTTTGCTTCCCCGAACTTTGGTTTTTTTCAATTTTAGTTTTTTTTTTAGTTTGTAATACTTTTTAATTGTTCAAAAATGTTTTTACGACAAAGATGAAAATCGAAGAAACGAAAAATTGTAAATTGAAAATCGTAGATCAAAAATTGCTTCAGGAGAATATTATTTTAAGCTTTTGCTAAAAGTGTGGTGTAGATGTAGAAGAACTTATTTCATTGTTTTTTAATGCACAGCCCTGGATCTTTTCGGCTTTATGTCATAATTTCTAGCGTATCAGAGGGAGAGACAGAGTGGCAGGCAGAAGGACGGTTTACATATGTCAAACGACAGACAGACAAATGAAACAATCACAAAAAATTCATTTAAGTAGGAAAATTCTCAACAAAATAATGAAACGAGAAACAACAAAAACTAAATAAAAAACAAAAAAATGGTAAAACAAAGTTAGCAAATAATTGTAAAATACAAAAAAAAAAAGCAAGCAATTGTAACAAAAAGAACAAGTAAGAAATTGTACAAAATGGGAGAAAGCATAATAATTGCAAAGCAAAACGAAGGCATCAAATTTGTTAAATGAAAATAAAAGAATAAAGTAATACAAAAAACTATGCATTAAATTGTAAAAAGCAAAGGAAAGCAAAACATAAAAATTGTAAAACAAGCAAGAGGAAAAAAACAAGAACCAACAATTTTATACAAAGAGCAACAAATTGTAATATAGTATTTTTTTTTTTAATTTTTTTTTTTTGCTGTAAGCAAAATGTTTTTTTATACAAATAAGAATCACACACACACACTCAGACACATGAATGGAAAACTACTTGCATGATATATAAAAAAAAAAATATATATATATATATAGAAGATAGAATGAGAGAAAGAAAGAGAGAGAGAGAAAGAAAGAAAGAAAGAGAGAGAGAAAGAAAGAAAGAAAGAGACAGAGAAAGAAAGAAAGAGAGAGAGAAAGAAAGAAAGAGAGAGAGAAAGAAAGAAAGAGAGAGAGAAAGAAAGAGAGAGAGAGAGTAATATATAAGCAGGAAGCCCAGACACACCTAGCGCCTTATGAAACGAGTCCTTAGCAAAAGTTAAATGGGAGATGTTGAGAATTGTTTGAACTGCTTTGTTATACAGATATGCGATCTATATGTAGATATATGCTATATATACTATATACTGCTAGAACACACCCAACACGATGACACTCAAGAAAAAATGTTAAATCAAAGATATTTAGATATAAGTTAAAGCCACAAAGCAAAAGCGAACCCCTTAATTAAGTAAGGCCCCCCTCATCCCCCCTTCCACCATCCCTCTAATGGTTACGTAGTTTAAATGCTAAAAAATTGTTAATCAGACTCTAAGCAGACTTCAGTTGAAATCAGAACCCTCTACCCCCCTCTAAATCAGAGCCTAGAACGAATGTGTATATACCCAAAATTATTCAAAAGAGCCGTTGAGACGATGTTGCAATCTATGCAAAAAACATAAAAGCAAATCCTATATACATATATATATACATCTGTGGAAACCAAGAAATACTTATTACCATATAAATATACATATATATATATATATATGTATATCTATATGAAACGAACAGAGGAGGGACGAAAACTGGACAAAGAACGCCCCAAGTGTATACACTTCATGTACCTTTTTAGCAAAAAAAAAAAAAAAAAAAGAAAAACAAGCAAAGAACGCATTAAAAAGTTATATAATTAAATTAAAAACTAAAACTAAACTGGATGTTGATGTCAAAGAAACCAATCTGCTAGTTGTTGCAACAAAGAGAACCAAAAACAAATGAAACAAATTTTGAAATGTTTTTGTTTGTTTGCTCAAAAATTTTAATATTACGATTCTTTTTTATACCCGTACTCAAAAAAGAGTTAAGGGGTATATTCGATTTTTGGTAAAAGTGTATGTGTGTAACGCAGAGAAGGAAACGTTTCCGACCCCATAAAGTATATATATTCTTGATCAGCATCAATAGCCGAGTCGATATAGCCATGTCTGTCTGTCCGTCTGTCTGTCTGTCTGTCTGTCTGTCTGTCTGTCTGTCTGTCTCGATGAGCGCCTAGATCTCAGAGACTATAAGAGCTAGGGCAACAAAATTTGGTTTCCAGACTCATGTGATATCCCACTACTACAAGTGTATTTCCAAATTTCGCCCCGCCCCCTTCCGCCTCCACAAAGGATGAAAATCTATGGCAGGCACAATTTTAAAGAAACGATAAAACTAAAACTCTACGCAGTATCGTAGAGAATGCCCATATCTACCAGATTGCCGAATCTGAATCAGATCGGATCATAATTATAGCCAGATTGAAGAAATTAATTTTCATTTACTGATTCTCTTTCTCGCTCGCACACTCTGCCGCGTTCAGTGCGCGAGCAACCCCTAGCGGAGGAGAATTTTTGTAAAATGTAAATTCTAAATTCTAAAATTCTAAAAAATCATATGCTCAAAAATGTATATACCGACTGAGTACGGGTATAAGTAGAGTTATGTTATGTTTTATGTTATTATTACTATTATTTTTTTTTTAGTTTAATAACGCGAGAATGGCCTTGAAGCGCATGTGGGGATAGGGCGAACGGTGTGTGTGTGGAGGAGAAGGAAAAACAAAAACATCAAAATTATTGTATAACTTAAGCTTAAAGGACCCCTCTCGGAGCCCAGCCACACCAAACCACAACACAACACAGCACACCACACCATGCCATGCCACGATCATCCATGCCCCGCGAAAGACAATCGTCGCCCGAATTGTTGTCGTTTTTCGCGCTTAAGTTGAATACAGTTGAAAGTTCTATGTAGCTCTAGGACACACACAACCTACACTCTACACATATAAATATCTATATACATACACACACACACTACATACACGACAATAGCAAAGTACATAGATACATATATAAATATTGTTATAAACCATTAAGCTTTATTGTTTATACAGAAACACACTTATATTATATATATATATATACGAAATCAACGGATAAAAAAAGAGAGAGAGAGAGCAGGTGGAGACTATTCGCCTGATCCGATCTTAACCGATACGATCTGATCCGATACGGTACAATGGTTCTATACCCTATACCCTTCTTCTGCCCGCGATGAGCAAAACTGTTTTGTTAATGTTTTTTTTTTCTTCTATTTTATTATTATGCAACATCATTATTATTATTATTACCATTACTATTACTATTATTATTATTGAGATATATATATGCATACATATATGTATATATATATTCGATTTTAAAACTTTTTTGCATACCAAATACACACAAATCAATATGTGAAATAATTTCGTTTGATTCGTTATCTTTTTTTTGTGTATTACGGAACCGACTGAATTGGGTATTCCGATTTCCGTATTAATCCGATCAGGATGTGTTAAAATCGGAGTACCGGAATATCAGTGTGTTGAGGCACATTCCTCGACGGTGATATAATAAAGCTCCATCTCTCTCTAAAGGAAGACGTCCGGCCATGGGGATTGATTTCCCTCAATACACTTACCCATCATGTGCTCTTCATTCGTTGATGGATCGTGAACTGTGAATTTAGTCCATAGTTGTACATACTTATATTTAGGTAACTATTTAGGGGAGATCCGTAGGATCAGTAGATGTCGGTTAATGTTGAGCTATTGTAAGTGCCTGCCCTTGACCGCAACCCGAACACCGACCCCGCCCCGCTCCACTGATTGAAGCTTTGATTGAATAACGCACTGTTGCCAGATTTCACGGATTTGTTAGTTAAAGTGTTAGCTTGAAGCCTCGCTCCTTAAGCCCTGCCTTTGATAAAGCCTTGGTGCATGCCACAAACACACACACACAAACATACACTCACAGTCTACAGGGTATCGCAAAAAAAATGTACTATATTGTATGTCTCAAAAAAATCGAATGGAGTACCGTCTCTGTGTCACTTTTGAAAAACCTTTTTGTGCGATCTGATATCTACTTATATGTATAGCATATACATATAAATACATACATACATATATATATATATCTGAAGAATAGGATGATTAATCTGTTTGCCCTCCAAGGTTTCAAATAGCGCCTGTTTTTATGTCTCTAAAACCTCTGTACAAAAGAAACAAAATAAATAAAAACAAAACTTAAAGAATAGAAAAATGAACAAAAAATATATCGAAACCAACAAAATTAAGCAAATAAATCATGAATTATATTTATATACATACATACATATATAACAAATAAATACATACATATGTATATGTGCAAGCGAAAGCAGAGACAAATTGGATGAGAGCTAAATGTTACCCTGTATTTTTTTAGAAATAACATTTTTCTACTTTTTGGATGATGTAAAACCAAAAACCCACAAAAAAAAAAACCAAGAAAAAAAAAACACAAAAACCAATTGAAATGAAAAGCATCTACTTGGTTCTCGTTTGTTGCTTAATTATATAAATACATAATATATGTACCAAACCAAAAATCAAAAAAAAAAAAAATGTATGAACTAAACAGATTTGGGACTGATCTTTGGGCCTGCATCACTGTGTATAAACGAATTGTGTATGTCATACAATAAATAAACTATTCACCACCCATCTGTTGATATCAGGCTTACGACTTTGTTGTGGATAAATACTTTTCAAATGGCCAACGAGTTTGAAACCTTTCAGAACTCCCCTTAGTACTGCATATTTGGTCTTTCTTCGGTTTGTGGTCGCAGTTGGACACTTGGACCATGGCCCCACTGAATAGGCAATTTAGTCGTGAATTACTGTAGATTGTTTTCTATATAAAACACGAAATTGCAGTCGCTTGAGAGTTTGAATATTGCATGGGGGAAAAAACAAAAAACAAGAGAGAGATGAAAAACATGGCAAAAATAATCTGAATCCCAGAGATTGATCAGACGGCACGTTCAGGACGTACCAACATCGAATGACAATGGCAAAGGTTGCTAATGAAATTCATTTGTTGACATGCCATTTGACTATTTAAATTTTAAATGTTTTGAAATTCAAAGTGTAAGGCCACCACTAAATTTTCATAAGTTAGAAGCTGCTAACAAATCGAAAGCAGAATAAAAATGAATGTTGAAAATGCTTGAAATTTGAGAGGTTTTCAATGTGAATGAGTCCATGAGTCCACCTGAAGGGTATTTGTTTTTTCAAATATTCAATTAATAGATGGACCTTAATACTCATATGATACACCATGAACCCCGCCGAACACTAATAGCACATGAAGTATCCATCAATTATTAAAATAGTACTAGTACTATTTCCAGAGAAGCCAGAGAATATAAAAAAGATAGTTGCCTATTTGCTGTACTTCCGAAAAATGTCTATACATATGTATGTACCATGTGCATATAATATTTATGTATATACAATATACACACTTCATGTGGTCGAATATGTTAATTTTATAATAAATAATGTTAACGCTCTGCAAAGCCCACAATGAATATTATTCACTTAGTTGATAGCTTGAGATCAAACCCACAGCTTATCATGCATGGGTTATCAATTCCAGGAATACAATCTGTATATGTATTTATGTACATATATGTATGTAGTATGTATAGCATGAATTGAAAGTGCAAAATTGATATTTATAAATGGGCATCGGGAGGATTTCCCTTAGTTTGGTTTCGAATCGACAGACAGTACGCAAGTCAAGCGAACATGAAAAACTCGGGCTTTGTGGTAATCATCTGCTTGCTCTTGCTGCAAGGTAATGTGGCGGAGGAAGTGACCATCCTGGAGCAGTGCAATGGCTATTGTTTCTCAGTTCTCCAGCCATACATTGATCATTTACTGCAGTGTCAAGAGGCAGCAGATCACGATAATGGAACAAAAGACAAAATTCAGACAAAAGAGACCATCAGCAATTTGCAGAGCCAGTTACTAAATAGTGGGACGGAAATTAAAAACAAAGATGAGCAAATCACGGATCTAAGAGAGCACATCAAGGGCAAAGATGAGCAAATCACGGATCTCAGAGAGCAAATCACGGATCTCAGAGAGCACATCAAGGGCAAAGACGAGCAAATCACGGATCTCAGAGAGCACATCAAGGGCAAAGACGAGCAAATTAAAGGAAAAGATGAACAAATTAACGGAAAGGTCGAACAAATCAAAGTTAAGGACGAACAAATCAAAGGAAAAGACGAACAAATCAAGGTGAAGGACGAGAAAATCAAGGATCTCCGAGCGGAAATCAAAGGAAAAGACGAAAAAATCAAAGTGATGGACGAACAAATTACAGGAAAAGACAAACAAATAAAGGATAAAGACGAGCAAATCTTGTTTGCCAAAAGACGCGATCAGCCATCGCAAACTAATCAAACGGCGGAGAATCTTCCCGACACATGTGCCAAAGGCTGCCCAAATGGCATTTTCCAGATAAAGGTCAAGGGAATGGATCCGTTCCAAGTTCCCTGCGAATTGTCCGGATGGATGGTCATTCAAAGGCGAATCGACGGAAGTGTGGACTTTAATCGAAATTGGACGGCCTACAAAGAGGGATTTGGAGACATGCGTGGAGAGTTCTTCATTGGGCTGCAAAAATTGCACTTGATGACCGCAGCTCAGCCTCAGGAATTGTATATACAACTCCGAGATGTTAATGGAACTTATCGTCATGCCAGCTATGACAATTTCATCGTGGGAAGCGAAGAAGAAAACTTTATTCTCAAATCACTGGGTGAATATTCGGGAAATGCAGGGGACTCCCTAAGGACTCAAGAGGGAGGAATGTTCACTACTTTGGATAGGGACAACAAAGTTAAGTGCGTTCGTAAGCTCAGCGGTCCGTGGTGGTTTACGGATTTCAAGTGCGGAAAAAGGTAATTAATCTTTTATTAGTTTTCTAGATAACTCCTTTAATTTCAATTAATTTCCATTTATTTTTCAGTTCGTTAAACGGTAAATATTTCAAAGATGGTATCGCCCATGCATGCAATGGAATTTATTGGCGCCATTGGGTTCCGTTTGATTACCGAATATCACTGACTTTTGTGAAAATTATGATAAGACCTAGGAGTCCACAGACGTGAGGAAGAATATATAAAAAATAAGCTTATAATCATCGTTGGATCGAGAATATTTAAACTCAATAAAATCGATAATTTTTTTTCATTTAAGAAGAATTGAAAATTCACTTACATATTTTAGTTGGTTTGTGCGCTAAGACAACAGACACGCAGGCAGCCGAGCCTGAGCCTGAACCCACAGGTCGAAAGACTCTACAATCGAGAAGATACCAGAGATGGGAGAGTTGGAAGAGTCTTTTATCTCTCAAAATATATATATATATTTTTTTTGGTATCTATACTGGGAATTTGAACACCCGAACGCTGGCTGGGATCAGTATGGATCACCGTAGATTACCTCGTCACTAAAACTGACGGTCCGCTCAGTGTCGTCGGAGGGCGGATCGACGAGAGCTTGGGGGGGAAAGAGACTAGTTTGATTAATTGGTGTGGGCCAATCTACCACATCGCCAATGCCTTCATATTCTATGGGCGGCTGTGTGCCGGACGACGCATCATCCGATTCCGAAATTATGTTGGGCAGTCCCAGTTCGGTCCTACGACGGTTGACGTCGAATGGGTAGAGATGCAAGCCGAGCTCCTTGTAGCGCCTCATGCAGTCCAAGAAGTTCTGACGGCGAGTCGCCGTCTCGCCCACGCTCTGCTGGACCGATCGCTGGTCCGTGGTGGAGCTGCTGTCCAAGTCTCTGTCCGCGTCATAGCCCGAGTCAGACGCGGACGTCTCCTCCTCCGGGGCTTTGGCGTTGCCAACGTGCAGCTCCAGCAGATGGCCGCTGATTCGCTCCTGCTCGATGCTGCGATCGAGAAAGACTTGCTCCCGCTGGCGATAGAGTTCCAGCTGCAGGCACGATAGCTCGTCGGTTAGCGAGTCATTTAGGTGGGTAACTTCCTCGTTGCGGATCAGTCCCCAGCGGATGGTGCACGGTATGTGGAATGGCATTAGGACGCAGAGCTTGGCCACCAGGCACTTGATCATACGCATCGTCTGGAAAGGGTACGTTGCGGATCAGCTAGAGCTGGAGGGTGTGGACATGTGGACTGGACTCACCTCGCTGTAGGTTCGCTCCGAGAGGGGATGGATTATCATCTGATTAACCACCCTGCGCAGACATTTTCGGGCCCCAGACAACTCGTGCAGCTCGCTGCGTACCCTCTGCGGAGGATGGGATAGCATATATGTAGTATATACGGGTGGAAGCGACTGGACAACACACATACAATGTTCATATCGCTGCAATTCTCGCCCTCAACGAGCTGATCAAGCAGATCATAGAACTTGTTCTGTGCCTCACTGGCCCGCGTGTACATCACGGCCCGTTGGTTCTTGAACCGCTTGAGGGAGTCCTCAGCCAGCTGATAGAGATCCCTGTCCAGGCGCATATTCTGGTCCAGGTAGGCAATGGCCTCCGCGAAGTGGTATCGCTCCAGTGGTTGTCCCATCAGTTCGGCCTGCTCATCGCTGCCAAAGATCAGCGGCTCCATGTCGCGAAAGCCCGTTCGCCGGAACTCCATCAGTCGGCGGTGGAGCTGTTCACAGAACTCCTCCTCACCCTGCACGGACTCCACCACTTCCACCAGCTCGCCCAGCAGCCGCACCTTGTACAGTCTGCCCATGAGCCCCATGTGGCGAGGCGATCTATCGACGGTGGGCCGTGCGTGGGTGGATCTGGCGTCCATCGCGTTGACTATTTCACGCAAATGGCCAGCTATGGGTGGCCGTGCCAGCAGATAGGGTAACGAGTCAATGGTCCGCAGATTATGGGATGCAGACGGCAACCCATTTAGGTTCACCCTCGATATGCTGTGTGCCGAGTGCAGGTGGCGTCTGGCCTCCCCGCGATCACGATCATGATCCTGTCGTTCATACTGCTCGGCAATGTTGGTGCTGGCCGGCGACGGGTTAAGCGTCAGCACGGAGCCGGTATCCGACAGTGAGGCCGCCGAATTGTTGTCATCCTGAGCCAGGGACTGCCATCTGCTTACCTCTGCATTGACATCCTGGGCACCAGGGAGAGCGTCATTGTAGCGCGCCATTATCTGGCGCAGCTCATCGCGCACATCCTCAGCGCCATAGTGCTCCGTGAAGTTGTCCTCTATCGCATCCGTGTCCATGAGGCCGAGCCAGGGGGACGACCCCTCGTGATCACCATCGCCGTTTGGTGGCAGTGCGTGACTCCCGTTGCTCATTGCGCTGCAGAAGTGATGTGAGAGAGATCAGGAACCAAAAAATTTATGCTTTCATTAAGCAATTTTGATCAAAAAATTTTTCTAAAAGCCGTGAGACTGAATCGATATCGAAAAACTGAAGGGAAACACCAATACGAATCTGTGACAATGGGAATTTTGAATGGGCGCCTGCTGGGACAAGGCCATATCGATACTGCTGCTGCTGCTTGGCTTCACCTGCCTGGCAAAACAGGGGAGCGAGTTACGAGGAGTCCAGATGGGGCATAAAGCTCTAGAGGATCCTGTCCATAGGTACATAGGGTAACCCAAAACTCATTCAACTGTGGACACAGGAGTGGCTTGGAGACTCTGTTGCAGTGCCATCTTGGCGTTCTCCATGTGGGTATCTATCTGGCGCAGATGCTCCGCTATTGACTGCTGGATGTGGACGTACTGCTGCTTCTCCGCCTCGGATTACGTGCTGTAGATTCCTCCCTGGCGACGCGCCTGCTTGGCGCTTGACATCGATTCCTCTCCGGACTTGGGCCGCAAATTAATGTTCAAATACAAAATTGTTAGCAATAATAATGAATAATCTGCAAAAAAAGTTATTGAATATACATACAATTTTAAAAATGTAATTTAATTTAAAATTTATCATATGCATATGCAAAAAAACGAGAAGGAACGTGTGAGTCGCTTCTGGGGACGCGACTCTACTTATACCCGTACTCAGTCAGTATATACATTTTTCAGCTTATGATTTTTGAGAATTAAAAAAAATTTTTTTGCTACAGCTGTTATCTACATATACATCTACAATGTATATTCTATATCTAAGATGTAGATTATAGATGTACCATTTAGATTCTACATCTCCTCCGCTAGGGGTTGCTCGCGCACTGAACGTTCTTCCAGATCCTAACACCACCCAACCGATTGGAATACAGTAGATTCGTCTTTATTCAATATGATTTCTCTGTTCAGTATTATATGCTATATAAACTAAATTATTAATCATATTATTACTATTTATATTTGCATTATTTCGTGCGTCTCTTCATTACTCGTCTCCGTTTCCTTCTCTTCCTTTGCCACTTTGTATAATAAATTTATTTTTTGTTTTTGTTTTTTTGTTTTTGATAATTGTTTTTGCAGCAGTGTCGGTTTCTGTTTACATTTGATTTTATTTGCAAAATTCTCGTTTTGGGGAGTCACAGCTGTATGCGTATGGAGTACTCGTACTTTCAATGATTTAAATCAAAGATCAATTACGATTTAGCTTAGGTTTAAAAAAAAATATGCCTTTTATTTATTCAATGCTTCGTGTGCATTTATTCAAGAAATGCTACAAAAAAATGTGTGTGAGTATGTGTAATTTTTGCTTATTTTGGGGTTAATTTTCTTCTTGTTGGATTTTCTTAGATCTTAGAAAATGGTTTCGAGGTTTGCCAAAAATTGTATGTGCTTAAGTTAAGTATCTATGTATGTATGTATGTATATTTATATATATATAATATATATATATCTATGTATGGTTTTCTTGCATTTAATTTCGTTTATATGTATATTTTTGATATTTTTGGGTTTTTTTTTGGGTTTAATTGTTTTTTTATACCCGTACTCAAAAAAGAGTTAATGGGTATATTAAATTTGTGGTAAAAGTGGATGTGAATAACGCAGAGAGGAAAATGTTTCCGACCCCATAAAGTATATATATTCTTGATCAGCATCAATAGCCGAGTCGATATAGCCATGTCTGTCTGTCCGTCTGTCTGTCTGTCTGTCTCGATGAGCGCCTAGATCTCAGAGACTATAAGAGCTAGGGCAACCAAATTTGGTTTCCAGACTCATGTGATATCCCACTGCTACAAGTGTATTTCAAAATTTCGCCCCGCCCCCTTCCGCCCCCACAAAAGACGAAAATCTGTGGCAGGCACAATTTTAAAGATACTATAAAATACTGTATTCCAAGACGAATCTACTGTATTCCAATCGGTTGGGTGGTGTTAGGATCTGGAAGAACGTTCAGTGCGCGAGCAACCCCTAGCGGAGGAGATGTAGAATCTAAATGGTACATCTATAATCTACATCTTAGATATAGAATATACATTGTAGATGTATATGTAGATAACAGCTGTAGCAAAAAAATTTTTTTTAATTCTCAAAAATCATAAGCTCAAAAATGTATATGCTGACTGAGTACGGGTATAATAGAGTCGCGTCTTTAGAAGCGACTCACACGTTCCTTCTCGTTGTGTATGTGTTTGTGTATGGGCTTGAATTCATTCATATTCATATCCATATATATGTAGATGTATGTATGTAACTCTCCCTAGAACTTTCTACAAAAGTTGAGTTAAAAAAACTGCATTACTCAATACATTTCTCTCCTGTTCTCTGTTGTTGTGTGTTTAAACTGGAAGGATATTTTTCATAATTTCATAATTACTAAGATCGATTCCGCATATACATATGTACTTCGCATTAACCATTTCATTTCATAATTATGTTGTATATATTTACAGCTCAAGTTTTGATTTTACCAATTATGTGTGTCTGTGTGTGTGTGTTTCTTTTAATTTTTTGTTGCTTCTTTGCTTGATCGAGTTTAAAATTAATTACGTATGTTTCTCCCTCTCTGTTCTGCCTGCCTAAGGTTCTACGGATATCTATGCAAAAAATTTCATCTGCCTACGTGACTTTATATACCATATATGTATCTATCTGTATACAATATCTATGTGTGTTTTTCGCTTCAATATATTTAGCTTTATTTAAAGTTATCTGTTTGCTTTAATTTACTTGGCTAGCACCGCGTATTATGTATGTATATATGTGACTATATATATATGTTGTATGTATAAAAATGCTATATATATATTTAACGAGAAGGAACGTGTGAGTCGCTTCTAAAGACGCGACTCGACTTATACCCGTACTCAGTCAGTATTTACATTTTTGAGTATATGATTTTTTAGAATTTTAAAATAAAAAAAAAAATTTTACATTTTACATTTTTTTGCTACATCTGTTATCTACATCTACAATGTATATTTTACATCTAACATGTAGATTATAGATGTACCATTCAGATTCTACATCTTCTCCGTTAGGGGTTGCTCGCGCACTGAACGCGGCAGAGTGTGCGAGCGAGAAGGAAAATGAGTTGTGTTGTAGTGGTCAGGAGGGGGCAGGGGAAGCAACTGAAAATTAATTTCGTCATCTTGGCTATAATTATGAACCGATCTGATTCAGATTCAGCAGTCTGGTAGATAAGGGCATTCTCATTCTCTCGATACTGCATTTTTAGTTTCATAGTATCTTTAAAAATGTGCCTGCCACAGATTTTCGTTCTTTGTGGGGGCGGAAGGGGGCGGGGCGAAATTTTGAAATACACTTGTAACAGTGGGATATCACATGAGTCTGGAAACCAAATTTGGTTGCCCTAGCTCTTATAGTCTCTGAGATCTAGGCGCTCATCGAGACAGACAGACAGACAGACAGACAGACAGACGGACAGACGGACAGACAGACATGGCTATATCGACTCGGCTATTGATGCTGATCAAGAATATATATACTTTATGGGGTCGGAAACGTTTCCTTCTCTGCGTTACACACATCCACTTTTACCACAAATCTAATATACCCCTCTTATAACTCTTTTTTGAGTACGGGTATAAAAATATGTATGTATGTAAGTATATACTCGTAGAGCAGGGCTCATTTCCAACTCCCCTTAAAATATGCTACATCTGAGCCAACCTCTGCAGTACGGGTAAGCGATGTGTAAGCAACCACACATCGATGGCAACGTCATGCAGCTCGATGACATAAGCGATGACCTGCCATACGATGGGCTGTTTACTTTAACACGGGGATGTCCTAGGAGCATAATCGATGACATAGTAAGCGAGAATTAGCCGAAAGTAAGGCCTCAATTAGCGATGAATTTCCCTTGAAAAGTAAGGCCTTAATAAGCGATGAATTTCCCTTGAAAAGTAAGGCCTTAATAAGCGATGAATTTCCCTTGAAAAGTAAGGCCTTAATAAGCGATGAATTTCCCTTAAAAAGTAAGGCCCTAATAAGTGATGTATTTAAGTAAAAAATTTTGATTTTTTTATGAAAAAGGCATGAGTAAATTCTGTTTTAAAATATTAAATTTCTTTTATTTATTGTTTTCTTATAAAAATGTATACATATTCACATTTGTGTGCTGTGTGTTCTTTTTTCCACAGAACCTTTTTAGTTTTTTTGATTTTCTCATGTTCAACTGAATCGCCTTTAAAAAAAGATAGGTTAATTAAAATATTTTTCAATTTGTTAACAATGCTCTCAGTAGATCAGCAGTGCATTTGCGCCAAAAACAAAACACTCGCCAAGATACATATGTACCTGTTCCACTCAAGACTCGCAAGAACCACTCGGGCTGTTTTTTTTTGTTTTCGTTGATGAATATGAAAAATTTCGTCCAAAACGCATATAATTTCGCACATTTTTCTTCATTTTTTACAACGCACAATAGACTATTTTTAATTAAATGAAACACTGCACTTACCTGATAATAATTTTGCCCAAAATAAACAAAACCTGCGTTTCACTTTTCACCGCACAATTCTAACAACGTTGTCAGACGCCGACGGCAAAACCGAATTCTGTTACGGCACGAGTCGTAACAGAAAGAAACAAAGAAAAAAAGAGTTTGGTCTGACCGACGCGTCGATCGCGACGTCGACGTCATATTCTACTCGTCTGTTGCAGCGGCAGAGAAAAAATCCTGAATGACGCGTAGTTGACATTTGTCATCGCTCACTTCTGGTACTGCAGGGCACCCACCGGTGGGTTCTGGGCGGGTGGGTCAGGAAGGGATACGAGATTTAGAAGAGATTGCGAGTACTTTTGTTCCTCAGCGGCATCCGATTTGCTAAGTGAAATCAAAAGGCCATTTGGATTCGGAGCAAGGATTTGTTGGTTTTTTTTCTTGTGGAAAATTTGTGGAACATAAAAAAAGGATTATCGATGGGTTTTTTTTCGTTTAATAAAACATTTTTATTTAATAAAGTTTCGTTCATGTTCATGTATTATTGGT